TCCAAGCCAACTGCATGCTTTGAACAAGCATTGCGACAAGTGATTAGGCTCCTCAAGGGACAATACCATGCTTGGCAGTACTATGGTCCTGATGGTGATGTGCCAGACAGTGGGCCGGCGCAGCTGGAAGTGTACGCGGATGCCAGTTGGGCACCGCAGGCTTCGCTAGGACGAAGATCAGTGTCGGGCATTGCGATCTTTTACAGAGGATGCCTGATAAAAGGAATCTCCCGAGTTCAAGGGTGTGTGTCGTTGAGTTCCTGTGAGGCTGAGTTGAGAGCAATCTTGACTGCGGTGCAGGAAAGCGAGGGACTGGCGACACTGATCGGTCAATTAGCCGAATCAGAGATCACGATCCGGTTGCATACCGACAGCTCCTCAGCACGAGCGGTATTGCGGAACAGAGGTCTGAGTAGACGAGTTCGTCACTTAGACATAGCTGTCTGCTATCTTCAGGAGAGAATCCAAGATGCTCAGACCCTCAAGGTCATGTGGTGCCCTACGGCGGGGATGATTGCGGATGTTCTTACCAAATGTTTGAATCATTTGACATTCTGTCAACACCAGCGAGCCTTAGGAATCTATCCTGACGAGAATGTGCAACAAGTATGGAGGATCTGTGGTCTGCGACGCCACATTGGATGGCCGACCGGGACGTACCAGTATGCTGGAGCAACTGGACGTCGAGTTGTGGAGTCCGAGGCAGCTGGACGACGGTGCGATGATGTTTTTGAAAATTCCATCAAAGAAAGTGAAATTTCTGATAGCCCCAGTGATCTAAGTGAAAGCCTCCCATGTTGTACCCGAGGTATGGATTTGTGGTCAACCTGCAGGAACTCTGGTTCAATCACAACCGAAGCTAGCCCCAGCCTCGAAGTCGTGCCTGAGGGTAAGGACGACCAAATGGGTACTGAAGGAAGCGCCGAGAAAGCGGTGAAGGGCACCGAAATGGAAGCGCCGTTTTGGTGTAAGCCATGCAAATGGCTCTTCAGAAGTGACCGGGCTTCCGGGCTTGGCTGGTCAAGTGAAGGAAAGCCCCAGTGCTTGAAGTGCCAAACGTTTGTGACCGTTTGGGGAACGAACGCGTCGCACGCGTTCCACCTCCGAGAGGGCGAAAAGGAGAGAAGGGCTGCAGGAAAGAAAGGTGAGAAAGGTGAGGGGAGAAGAGTTGTTCAAGGTTCTGGCCAGCAACCCCCGAAACCAAAGAGCATGCCCAAGCCCTTGGAGCGGATGGTTGAGCTGGTCCCAGACCTGGCTGTGCAGGAACCGCCAACGTGGTACAACGATGCATGGTGGGCGATCTGTCGTCGTGGAACGACAATCGAAGATCTGGATGTGTCGAAATATGTCACTGAGCTGTCGGAAAGTGACATGGTGAAGTACCAAAACAGCTTTGATAAGCTGGTGCGGCCGGTGCAAGAGATTGCCGAAGTGAATCCGAAGCCTTCGAAGTTGTTGGGAGTCATCGATCTCCGTGGACAGATCGGTGGCAAGGCCCTGATCTACGAGACGGCGGTGACTGAAGGTATGCTATACCTCGAGGTGCCACAAGCCACGTTTGCTCTGAGTGTGATCAGTTTCGTGCGATACCTCAGGGGCAAGGGATTCACCCCTGTGCTCCTTTTGGGTGAAATCCAAGACCTTGGGGTCTTGAGGTTGGTAGATATGTTGTTTGCACTGCCCATCCTTTGCGGGGAACGGTGCTTGAAGGCCGAGATGGAATGCACTGCGCATCCACCGTGGATCGCCCGCTGGAAAGACCATGCAAAGAAGGGCATGTTGGTCTTCAAAGAGATGTTGGATGGGGTGCGGATGATATCTTTGCTGTCGTGCACGATGAGGATCCACGATCCGAACTTAGCCAAGGAGAACCGACCAGTGCCGCGTTGGGCATTTCATGCCTATGGCAACTACAAGGCAGTGTTGGGGTCGTTGGTCAGGATCACGGAGGATGAAGAAAAGAACAAGGCCAATGGCTGGCAGAAGGTCACCGAGCACGAGACCAGGAGCATGGTCAATTGGGAATGCGACTGCAAGTGGCATCTCCCAACGGATTACGTGGAGAGATTCAATCTGATGATGCCATCGGATATGTGGCAGCAGGTGTGGCAGATCCTGTGCGAAGGAATCGACGACTTTGAGCCTGAGGAAAAGGCGCTGAGAGAGATGGTAAAGAAAGCTGTGGAACAGCAGGATCGAGAAAAAGCTGAGAGAAAGCGAAAAGAAGGGATTGCTGAGCTCGAGGAAGCAGAGGCTGAAGCGGTGAGAAGGAAAAAGGCCCGAATGGAGCGGGAAGACTCGAGAAGATCTCCCGTGTCAGTGCCCTCGCCGGTCATGGACGCTGCCATGATCGCACAAATCGCCGAGCAAGTGCGTGCGAATCTGAGCATCACGGACCTGGAAAGGATGTTGCAAGAAAAGAAAACATCCGAGCCAAGCCGATCATCGCAGGATGTGATGATGGGTGAGCGGATGAGTGAGTTGAAGGAGATGAAAGATGCGGCGAAGGAGCGCCGATCGATCAATGCGGATGCAAAGAAGGAAGATGCCGCGGAGGAGAAAGTTGAGGAAAAGAAAGATATGTGGACGGCGAGGACATGGATTGAGGTGCTTGCTGACCTCATGGGGTGAAAAAGATGCCCCGCAGCCGTTTGAGGGACGCCATGGCATCCGTGCCGCCATGGCCCGCCCGCGTTTTTCCATTGGTTTCCGAGAAGCCTGAGTCAGTGCATGTGTTTTCGCTGGATGGAAGCAGCAAGATTCGTCTGATTGCTGCAAGCTTGTATTGGTTTGTTTTTGGAGCCTGCCGCTACGTTGGTGATGCGATGTCTGGCCAACGGTTTTTGGTTCTTTCCTGGAGTTTGCGAGATTGAAGGCTATGACTACGTCGAGGTCGTGTACTGAGACTGGGTGAGCCTGAGACTTGCATTAATTCGTTTTGACGTGTTTGTCACCACGAACTCTTGGAGAGCTTCCAAGACAACCCTGTCTAGTACAGGAGGATGCAAGTTGAGTTAGTTTGTCACGAGTTTGAACAACGAACTCTTGGGTACCAGTTGGACCCAGGACAACCTGCCTTATGGTGGGATCTTGCATGAGTTTCAGTTTTATGTCAAAGATCGACTGGTGTGTCGGTTGTTTCGCTTTGGTGGCGAGTACGCACCAAGGGAATGTGGCCAGGGCATCCCCTTAGTGTTGAAGTGCCGAGCTGTGCTTGGACATTGGATCTTTGGCATGAACCCTCAGCGAAATGCGGGGGGTGGAAGATCCTGGCTGATCATTGACGGTTTTGCCATATTTTGGATCAGCTTGTATAGAGTTGTTTTGCTTCGGAGTGATTGGGAATCTTTATGATCCCATCCTCGATGGTTTTTGCCTCGATGATTTCCCTAGGAAATCATACGAGTATGTTTTTGCCCAATACGCTACTTTGAGTGAGTGTGCAGTGTGTAGGAACTTTGTTCTGAAGCTGAGTTTAAGCTCACATGTGAATTCGTTTAGTTTGCGCACTTCGTGACTTTTGGCTCAAGGCCTGCGAGTGAAAAAGAGCGTGTCCGCACTTGGTTGAGATAGGTTTGGGTTCGTGCTTTCAAGGGAAAAGGTACCAGAGGGACCTTCGGTTTTTCACGTCGTGAGCCCGAAGCATTGCCGGTGCAATTGCAGTTTGGAAATTACGCAAACTACGTGGAAGCTGATGTAAGGTTGAGCAAAGGCGGCCAACGTTCAGGCACTGCCGGTCGGTTCCACAAAGCGCTGAAAGCGCCAGAGGAAAGTGCTCCGGGAACGCCTGCCAGACCTTTGCCTCTTGCTTCTGATGATAGTGATGTGCCTGAAGAGCACAGAAAGGCAGCAGCCACAGGTGCCAGGTCAAAGGCAAAGTCGAGCCCGCGGAACCGTGATGAGCAAGCACGAGGATGTGACGAACATGCAGCATCCGAGAGTTCCGAAGTCATCGAGGAGGTGCCGCAAGCCCGTAGGCGCTGCTAGACCGGCCCGAGTGCCCGATGTCTGGGTATTGCATGCGCAGAGAAGCAGTGGAGAAGGGCTACACACCTTGCCGAGTGTGCAGACATTGACGCGATGACATGTAGTAGATTGGCAGATTGGAAATCCGAACCCAACAACTTGTTATGCTATGATTGGTAGTGCTCATGATGCTTTTTGACTTTGCCCGGTCTAGCCGAAACTTGTTATGTTCCATTTTGGAACCAATCCCTGTCTTGATTTGAGTAGCCGACTCATCTCTCGTGCGATGGCAGCTAGGCCGTCACAATCTTTTTACTACGAGCCTCAATGGCTAAGTGATGGCAACTCTGTTGCCTGTGGCCTCCGCTTGGGCAAAGAAGCGTTCAGCTGTAGCGTAGTTGAACTTCCTGCTCAAAAAGCGGCAGCTGTCACAAAGGCCTTGAGCTGGCGCTAGGGCAGATCAGCGAAACAGCTGACCGTAGTCGAAAGGGAGCCTGAACTAAGTTGTCTGGTTTGTTGAAGTCAATGTGGGCGGAAATCCTTATGTACACAGATACTCCGAACCTCGAAGCACCGTGAGGCGGGGTGCTAAGGATTTTCCGTTTGCGTAGAAGCCTACATTTTGTAGTACTGATTTGTGTTTTCACTTTGCTCCTGTAGTTGAGCCCGATGAATCTTGAGTGACTCCGCAGGCCTTTGAGTGTTCAAAATGTTAGCACCCGTAAACCCCTAGCCTAAGCCCTAAAACTTAAACCCTAAACCCTAAACCCTAAACCCTAAACCCTAAACCCTAAACCCTAAACCCAAACCCCAAACCCCAAACCCTAAACCCTAAACCCTAAACCCTAAACCCTAAACCCTAAACCCTAACCCGTAAACCCTAAACCCTAAACCCTAAACCCTAAACCCTAAACCCTAAACCCTAAACCCTAAACCCTAAACCCTAAACCCTAAACCCTAAACCCTAAACCCTAAGAAGTGCCCCCCCCCAAACTCAAACGGAGCTCTCGCTGACTCAGAGTCGGCTCCGTGCCATGCGCCTCACCCGCGCGCTTCGCGCGGCACGGCGGAGGCATCGCGGGGCGCCCGTCCACTCTAGGGGGTTCAGGGTTTGGGGTTTGGGGTTTAGGGATGTTTAGGATGTTCAGGGATGTTTAGGGATGTTCAGGGATGTTTAGGGATGTTTAGGGATGTTTAGGGATGTTTAGGGATGTTTAGGGTTGAGGGCTTATGGTTGAGGGTGTTGGGTCTTGGGTTTGGGTATGGAGAGAACAACTTTCGGTCTTTTGGGCTCCCAGCCGTCCGGTATCTGCTCCGTTTGTCGGTTTAGGGTTTAGGGTTTAGGGTTTAGGGTTTAGGGTGCACTTCCTTTGAAGACATCAGTCAGTTGCCTCTAGTATGAGAATGCTCAACGGCTTGTGAACTCCCAAAGATTGACTAATTGAAAGGTTCGTGAATATTGCAACTGTTCCTTCCGCTTTTGATACGACTGTTTTCGTGGTTCGCAACTTGGGGGTCGCAGATAGCCCTAAACCCTAAACCCTAAACCCTAAACCCTCAACCCTAAACGCTAAACCGAATTTCTAAACGTCGATCCGGTGTCCAAGAAGCCTTGACCGGAACAGCGGTGAAGGCCTTGAAAGGAACGTGAACATTGGGCATCTTCCCCCCAAAAGGGCTTCCCCGATACGCTCAACATACTGACATTGAAACTACCCCCCCCTAGTTGAACCCCTAAACCCCTAAACCCCTAAACCCCTAAACCCCTAAACCCCTAAACCCCTAAACCCCTAAACCCCTAAACCCCTAAACCCCTAACCCCCTAACCCCCTAAACCCCTAAACCCCTAAACCCCTAAACCCCTAAACCCCTAAACCCCTAAACCCCTGAACCCCTAAACCCCTAAACCCCTAAACCCAAAACCCCTAACCCCTAAACCCTAAACCTTAAACCTTAAACCCTAAACCCTAAACCTTAATCAAACCCTACACCCCAAACCCCTCCCGCAGGTGGGGTGTGATCTTCGACATCGACGGCGTACTCGTCCAAGGCTGCAAGCCCATCCCGGGTGCTGCAGAGGTGGGACAAACCCTAAACCCTAAACCCTAAACCCTCAATCCTAAACCCTAAACCCTAAACCCTAAACCCTAAGCCCTAAACCCTAAACCCTAAACCCTAAGCCCTAAACCCTAAACCCTAAACCCTAAACCCTAAACCCTAAACCCTAAACCCTAAACCCTAAACCCTAAACCCGTGCACTTTGTCCAGAATGTTCATCATCGTCATCTTTATGCTATAGTGAGTAAGTATCGCTACCGCTACATTGTACAAGTATTATTGTTCTCATACTGGTCGTTATTTCCTAGTATATCAGGGGCTACTTTGCGAGGTTTAGCCTATTTTTTTTTCTGTGATGCCACACTCCGCGCCCTAAAAACCCCGGAAAGCCGTAAGGAGCCTTTGAACCTGAAGACCCTAAGCCTAAAACCCAAAAAACCTCTACGGCCCTTGCGACCCCCAGACCTGAAAGACCTAACCCTGCACTTTGAGCCCTCAACCCTAGATATTGTTTCTTGGGGCATGACATTGTCCTTTAAAAGCCTCAGCCCTAAACCCGCAAACCTTCAACCTTGAGTCGCATGAGCCTGTGCCCTAACAAGCGCGCGTTTCAGTGCATTCTTTTGAGTACTTATAAGTAGGGTTATACGTACCCTAAGCAAGGCTATTGTCACCATAACCCTACTAAGACCTTGCTTGTAAGTACCCGTGAACCTCCAAGTATTGTTGAGGTTCTGGGGTTAGGGGTTTGGGTTCAGAGAATCAATGATGATGATGATGATGATGATGGTTATTGCTCGTTCGATCGATATTGTTGTTTGTGTTCTTCTTCGTGCTGCTACTATAGTATGAGGTCTTGCACCAGTTGTATCGCCACTGCCGCCCGAAGCTGCAGGCTAGAGCTTAAAGCACTTTGCAGACGGCACCCAGGGTCCCAGATCTTGCCCAGACCCTGCGCCGTAGGAATAGTCATAGTAGTATTTATGGAAGCAACAAGAGGAGCACCAAGATTTGCATGAAGCCGGACAGTAGCAACAAAACTGAACGCCATAATATACGTATGTATAGTCTTAAGACGTACAACAAGGACAACATGAGCAATGGCAGTAGCAGTAGCGCCAGCAATAGCAACGACTGAAGACAATGCACAGTGGCAAGTACAACAAGAATGATATGGGGTTTCCGACATTAGGGGTACCTTATTGGGTCCTTATTGTTATACAAGAATCCTGCTACTTGGGGGTCTATATCAGGGTCCCTTATTCTCGTAGACTCCCATATAGGTTTTGAACGCACGAAGATGTGCCTTGATTTCAGGCCCTCCGCGCGCTGGATGACGCTCGCATCCCCTACGCATTCATGACGAATGGAGGTGCGATGCGCTGCATGTGCCTGGCTCCCGCTGAAATGGATCGCATCGGATCTCTAAGCCTCTCTACGCGTGCAGAACGCATTGATAGAGAGCGGATCAGAGAAGCTAAGTTGGCCCAGAGTGCTGTGCAGTCTTCCGTTAAACTTCTTAAGACTGACCCGAGTCCCAACCTCAGCAGCCCTCCTAAACCCTAAGCCCTAAACCTTGAAGCCCTACAGTAAACCCTCAATCCCTAACCCTAAACCTTAAACCCTAAACCCTAAACCCTAAATCCTAAACCTTAAACCTTAAACCCTAAACCCATACACTAAACCCTAAACCCTAAACCCTAAACCCTAAACCCTAAACCCTAAACCCTAAACCCTAAACCCTAAACCCTAAACCCTAAACCCTAAACCCTAAACCCGCGAATGGAGGGTTCCCAATGACCCACAGGCGGAGTCCTCGAGGCGGAGAAAGCTGCCGACTTGGACTCTCAGCTCAGACCGCGCGATGTAGGAGGGTACTACTTTTGTTAGGGTTTAGGGTTTGGGGTTTAGGGTTTAGGGTTCAGGGTTTAGGGTTTAGGGTTTAGGGTTTAGGGTTTAGGGTTACCATAATGGTTTTCGGTGAGTGCATATCGAGTTCTACTTGGTGTGGGAAAAATCAGGGAGTGTCCTGTTTGGGATGCTGGCAACAAAAGCCCCTGCCAACCCCTAAACCCAAGCTCGAAAGCCGAAGTCGAGGCGAAAGCTGTGAACCCCAACCCCACAACCCTACTTGAAGGTTCATGGGTACTTGTAACCTCAATCATAACTGCACTTCTATAAACCCTAAACCCTAAACCCTAAACCCTAAACCCTAAACCCTAAACCCATACACTAAACCCGCCCGCCACCCCACTCTCTTGTCTTTTGGGGTAGGCGGGCACTGGTCGAGCGCTCAGTGAGACCCTGCGAGGGAGCCCCAGGCGGGCGACCGAGCTGGCCTCCAGGCAGGCTTACCCTCCAGGCAGGCACAGGCCGAGACAGCAGTAGTCACTGTCTTATATTATATTACCCGAAACCCCAGCTGCCCGCGCACATTCTTTGGCTCCTGCATTGGAGGCCGCCTGGGAAGGCCCCTGGAGACCCCTGGGTCCCCAACCCCCGTCCGCTGGGCTGCGGGGACCAGGGGCCGTTTTGTTGGGGCAGCAAGGCTCTCGCGAAAAAATTCGCTTTTGGCCTGGCTCCGGCCCTGGCCCTGGCCCTGGCCCTGGCCCTGGCCCTGGCCCTGGCCCTGACCCTGAGCCTGGCCCTGGCCCTGGCCCTGGCCCTGACCCTGGCCCTGGCCCTGGCCCTGCCCCTGGCCCTGTGGCGCCCCTCTGCGAGCCCGCCCTGGCCCTGGCCCTGGCCTCTGGCCTGTTCGAGTCATCTTACCCCCTTGCGCAAAGCCAAGCTGTCAGCGCACCAGTTTGTGTCCTGAAGCCAAGCTATCCGCCACAAAAGCCCTGTTTCGGTGGCGCTCTGCCCTGTGTGTTCTTCCTGGCTGGAGCCCCTTCGCGCCAACCAAGCCTCGCTGCCTTTCTCTGTTCCTGGCCCGTCCCTTAGCCCTTCACGGACCCTGCCTCGTTTCCGTCTGCTGCAGCTTTGCGCCTGGTCCACGCACCTTGTGGAAATCCCCAAAAAGGGCGTGAGTGCTGACTCATGTGATGCTTTGTAAAAAAATAAAAGGCCTTAACTCCTTGAGAGTTGTAAGTGGGCGGTCTTGGGGTGGGTAGGTCTGCAGACTACCGCGCGCTCCCAAAGCGCGCTCCCGTTTGGCACGCCCTAAACCCTAAACCCTAAACCCTAAACCCTAAGTCCCCTAAGTCCTCTCGGTAGGTTAAAATATGTCTCCGAAGCCGGAGAGGCACAGCTGCTGGGGCGTCCAGCCCCATTCGAGACAAACAGGCTGGGCCCCTTAGCAGAAAGCCACTTGCCATGGGTTTAGGGTTTAGGGTTTAGGGTTTAGGGTTAGGGTTTCGGGTGATTGCTTTGGACTTGGCTGTGCGGCTTGAAAGCTCCTTCTGGCCGATCTTGAGTTAGGCACCAGAGTTAATCGTAAGAATGATCGCGGTGAGAAGCATGGTCATGCTACTGATCGAAGATCGAAGTGATAGGCGACAGGAATGTTTGTCATGGGAACGAGAGTGTTGACAAGAAAAGCGGCAGCGATGACCATGATGATACCCTGAAAAGTTATGCAACACAAGGTTGCCACCTTGGTGTCGGAGCTTTGCCCCATTGCGTGCTTGTGGTCTGCTTTTGATATGCATTGTGCGGGCGTACACCCCGCATGGTCAGCCGAGCATTGATGCAAGCAGCCGCATGGTGATCGCCAGCATCGGTTCTGCCTCGAGTGAAGTCTCCACTCTAAACCCTAAACCCTAAACCCCGAACTTAGTAAACCCTAAACCCTAAACCCTAAACCCTAAACCCTAAACCCTAAACCCTAAACCCTAAACCCTAAACCCTAAACCCTAAACCCTAAACCCTAAACCCTAAACCCTAAACCCTAAACCCTCAACCCTAAACCCTGAACCTAAACCTTGGGACCCAGATCTCCCTTTGCGAGGATGCTCCTCAGCCACACGCCCTTCCGAGCCTTAGCCGAATCTCAGCCGCAGAGAGTTCTCAGGCCCATGTTTAGGGTTTAGGGTTTAGGGTTACGGGTTCAGGGTTTAGGTTTTAGGGTTCAGGGTTTAGGGTATAGGAGTTCAGTTATCCTTTAGTCATAACCACAACCCATACTCGCAATGTTCAGTGGTGCTACAACAATATACAGTCGCTCGGAGCTGCTCCTGCAACTGCCAGCAGGCAGTGTCCTGGCTTGCTGAAAGCCCCAAAACCCTCCGAACCCAGCGTGGCTGCGTCGCCCACTCAGCCCTAAACACCCAGGCCCTAAACCCTAAACCCTAAACCCTAAACCCTAAACCCTAAACCCTAAACCCTAAACCCTAAACCCTAAACCCTAAACCCTAAACCCTAAACCCTAAACCCTAAACCCCTAAACCCTAAACCCTAAACCCTTCGGGGCCCTCAGAGACCTTTAGGGAAGTTTCGGGACCCTGAGCCGCATGGAGGCTCGCTTCAGTGACCGTCGCGTGCTCATCGTCGGCGCGAGCCGTACACCTGAAGTTGCGGCCAGTCACTGGGAAGAAGTTCAGGGATTGAAGGGTTTTGAAGGTTTCTAGGGTTTGCCTGCTTCCAAGGCGGGACCAGCGTTGAGAGGACTGATAAAGTTGTGTTTCGGGGCCGCTTTTTTTGCACGGGGGGGGGGGGGGGGTGGCACTCAGCCTGTTTACAAACACGAGGGAGAGCAATGGCAATGACCTATAGTGGGAGCGCCCTCAATGCTGCCTCTGAATCTTTCTCCTAGTCCTAGCTCCTATTCATAGGCCCTAGGCTTTCGACCAGCGCTCGCACCTTAGTCTGAGCTCATTGAGACTTCGCATTTTCGCCTGAACACAGAACGTCTGCGGTGCAGACCGCAAATGCGCGAAGGATATAGGAATCGACTTAGTCGGTGCACCCTTTTGCCCTCGCAATTGCTCCTGTAACCTGAGACCCTGTAGAGATCTTTAAAGTACATGCAAAGTACCTATAGCTAAACTGAGGTTATGGGTTCGACTTCGCTGCAGGGCGGGCGGTTGCTCTGGCCGCAGATACATTTCTTGCGGCGAGTTGCTAGGAATCGCTTGCAAAGGGCAGAGCAAAGGGACGGTGCGCAGGCTCCCCTCGTGTTCTTAAAAGTCATGCTGTTAATCATCCTTTGTATGCCAGACCTCTCAGGGTCAACCCAAAGCGGAAACCCCCGGAGCCAGAAGCCAAGGTCACCACAGCGCAGGTGGTCAGTGGCACCAAGGACATCTGCCCCTTCCCGCCCCTGGCCACGAGCGCTCTGCCGGGCGTGAATGCGCCAAGGCTGTTTGGAGGATTGAACTTCAGACTTTCCCCTGGCCTGGTACTGTTTGGGAGTTGAGAGTTCACCCCAAACCCTAAACTCTAGACCCTAAACCCAAAACCCTAAACCCAAAACCCTAACCCCTAAACCCTAAGCCCGAAACCCTAAACCCTGAAACGAGGCTGCAGGGGGTGGGAGGTGTGTGGCAATGGGATCGACCAGCCGCCAGCCCTGACCTAGTCGACTTGTGCCTCAGTCCTTGCCTCCTGCCTTAGCTACCCATTTCCGATGAACCTTCCAAAGCCTGAGGCTTAGGGTTTAGGGTTTAGGGTTTAGGGTTTAGGGTTTAGGCAGGGTTCAGGGTTCAGGGTTTAGGGTTGGTTTGCCGTGAGGTGAACGCCCCGGATGCGCCCCGCATCGAGGTTCCCGAAAGGGAGGGCGGTTCCAACCCTGAAATCCTCGATCCTAAACACTTCAACCCCCAAAAAGCTAGCCTAAACCCTAAGCCTTAAACTCTAAGCCCTAAACCCTCAACCCATCAACCCAAAGCCCAAAACCCCAAACCCAAAACCTTAAATCGGAAACCCTAAACGCTAAACGCTAAATCTCAAACCTCCCTATCATATAATAATTTATGCCTTAATGAATTCGTTGTTCAAGGCAGTTTTTGCGTGGTTCAAGGCAATTTTTTCGTGGTTCAAGGCACATTTTCGTGGTTCCAGGCTTCAAGGCCGGGGTTCAGGGTTTCAGGGCATCAAGGCCTGGGGTTTAGGGTTTCAGGGCCTTAAGGCCTGGAATTTAGGGCCTGGGATTTCGGTCCTCAAGGCCTGGAGTTTAGGGCTTCAGGGCGTCAAGGCCTGGGGTTTGGGGTTTCAGGGTGCTTTTTAGGGTTTCAGGGCCTCACGGCCTTTAGGAATTCAGGCCCGCAAGGCCTGGAGTTTAGGGTTTCAGGGCCACAAGGCCTGGGTTTAGGCTAACGCAGCGCACAAGAGATGCAATGGCAAGAAAATGAGGTTAACAATACTAGGTGTTTGTTTTGTGTCCGTTCGTTTCAAGCATAGGCCTTAGAAACTGAGATGATTGGAGAATACTTGTTCTTATATTTTCTCAATGTTATGGGATTCTCTGGGTGGGTGGGTGTTATACCAGAGCCGCAAATGTATAAAACTGCTCGATCCGGAGCTGCTGAGCCCTAAACCCTAAACCCTAAACCCTAAACCCTAAACCCTAAACCCTAAACCCTAAACCCTAAACCCTAAACCCTAAACCCTAAACCCTAAACCCTAACGTTGACCGAATCAAAAAGGACCAGAGCTGCGCCAGGCCGTGCTGATCTTCTACGAGCCCAACGACTGGGGAACCGAGCTGCAGGCTGGTGGCGTCACGGGGGTTTAGGGTTTAGGGTTTAGGGTTTAGGGTTTAGGGTTTAGGGTTTACTTGCAGGTTCATGTGGGTACTTATCACCAGGGTTATGAGTACCTTGCATAGGGTGAAAACCGTAGTTACCCTACTTACGACCCTACTTATGACTCTCCTTTGTAACCCGAAACCTTAAACCTTAAACCTTAAACCCTACTTATAACCCTAATCATGACCCTACCTTGTAAGTATCAAAAATGAACCTCCAGTAGTAGTGTTTCTTCGTGGGGGTGTTTGGGGTGGTGGCTTCACAGCTCTCAGTGACTTTCATAGGATCATGTAGGGTTTAGAGGGTTTAGAGGGTTTAGAGGGTTTAGAGGGTGTAGAGGGTTTAGAGGGTTTAGGGTTCAGGGTTCAGGGTTTAGGGTTTAGGGATTAGGGTTAGGGATACGTCTCATCGGCTCGTTTCCCGAAACCCGGATATCTTCTTGCAGAAGCCCTCAGTACCGATCTGAAGCCCAACCCCCTTCAAACCCCAAGCGCTCTAAACCCTTCTTAAGCCCTCAACGCCGTCGACCCCCTAACCCTAAACCCGGCACCCTTAGTCCGAAAAAAATGAAAAGCCCAAAAGCCCCCTAAACCCTAAACCCCTAAACCCCTAAACCCTAAACCCTAAATCCTAAACCCTAAACCCCAAACCCGAAACCCGAAACCCGAAACCCTAAACCCTAAACCCTAAACCCCAAACCCGAAACCCTAAACCCTGAACCCTGAACCCTAAACCCTAAACCCTGAACCCTGAACCCTGAACCCTGAACCCTGAACCCTGAACCCCAAACCCTAAACCCTGAACCCTGAACCCTGAACCCTGAACCCCAAACCCTAAACCCCAAACCCTAAACCCTAAACCCTAAACCCTAAACCCTAAACCCTAAACCCTAAACCCTAAACCCTAAACCCTAAACCCTAAACCCTAAACCCTAAACCCTACACCCTAAACCCTAAACCCCAAGCCCAATCCCTGCAGGTGATCACTGACGCCGTGGCCGGGGGCCGGCCTTTGGGCTCCGGCCGCGAGCAGGTGGCCGAGGCGCCCCCAGGGTTCAGGGTTTAGGGTTTGGGGTTTGGGGTTTAGGGTTTGGGGTTTAGGGTTTAGGGTTTGGGGTTTAGGGTTTAGGGTTTAGGGTTTAGGGTTTGGGGTTTAGGGTTTAGGGTTTAGGGTTGAGGATTTGGGGTTTAGGGTTCAGGGTTTACTTAGTTGTAGAGTAGGTAACCTTTAACCTTTTTGGGGTAATAAAATCCCCTTATATTCACAAAGGTGAACCGTTAGTCCTCCTAGGTACTGGACAACTAAGTTTAGGGGTTTTCGGGTTTAGGGTTTGGGGTTTCGGGTTTAGGGTGTAGGGGGTTTCGGGTTTAGGGCTTGGGGTTGCGGGTTTAGGGTTTAGGGTTTTTCGGGTTTAGGGTTCAGTTGTGAGGGGTGTGAGGGGTTTTTAGTGGGTTGAGGGGGGTGGAGGGGTTTGACGGGGTTTGAGAAGGAGAGCAAAGAATCAGAGGGCCCGTTACCCTAAACCCTAAACCCTAAACCCTAAAACCCTAAAACCCTAAAACCCTAAACCCTAAACACTAAACCCTAAACCCCAAACCCTAAACCCTAAACAAGCCGAGAAAGGGGAGCCTTGCAATCCCACGGCCCTGTAACCCTTCAACTCTAGAACCCTAGACCCGTTGTTCTCCAGGGATGAGTCCTACTTGGAGGTTCATGGTACTTGTGAACCCACGAGAATTGTACTTATAACCCACCTATCAGCCCCTTAAGTGCCCTCACATGGCTAGAAGTACAGCTAGAAGTACAGCTTTTTTAATTGCTTAATAAGTACCATGAACCCTCCAAGTAGAACCGTTTCTTATAACACTAGAACCGTTTCTTATAACCCACTTGGAAGCCCCTGAGGTGCCCTCATATGGTTATAAGCACAGTTATAAGTACAGTTATAAGTACAGGTATCAGAACAGCTAGAAGTACAGCTATAATTGGTTAGTGAGTACCATGAGCCCTCCAAGTAGAACCCTGCAAGTGTGTCAGGTTTGGTCTTCCAACGGAGACTTCCTGTGGAAGGCCCCATCTGGGGGAATCGAAGGTTGCGTTCTACTGACGATGACACATATCATTACCTGTTACTTATTGTGTTTTTCTCTTCGTTTATGTACTTGTTTACCTATTCGTATTATTCGTTCTTAATTGTTGATTTGTTCTATTTTCTTATATTGTATTTGTTGTTTGTTGTTTGTTATTTGTTACCTATGTATTCTTCATCGTTTACATGTTTTCGTGTCCTTATTATGTTTACTACTCCTATTACTACTGCTGCTGCTGCTGCTCGCCGCCGCCACCACACCACCACCACCGCCGCCACCACGACCACGACCACGACCACGACCACGACCACGACCACGACCACGACCACGACCACGACCACGACCACGACCACGACCACGACCACGACCACGACCACGACCACGACCACGACCACGACCACGACCACGACCACGACCACGATGACGACGACGACGACGACGACGACGACGACGACTGCTACTACTAGTACCACTACCACTGCCACTACCGCCACTACTACCACTACTTCCACGTCTACCACTTCTACCACTACCACCACTACTACCACTACTACCACTACTACGACTGCTACGACTGCTACCATTTCTACCACTACTACCACTACTAGCTACCACCACGACCACCACCACCACCGCTACTACCACAACCACCACCACTACCACTACATAAATTACGAACTGCGAGCTACTACCTACAAACTACGAACTGCGAACTACGAACTTCGAACTACGAACTACGAACTGCAAACTGCTAACTATTAGCTAAACTAACTACTAACGACTAATTCCTAACTACTAACACCGCTGCCACTGCTTTTACTACTCTGCTTCTACTTCAAATCCTGTTATAAGCCCCTAACCATTGGACGCGGAAGCATTTCATCCAACCGCTCTTCCTGTGCAGTGCACGCGCCTACCCCAAGTCTGTAGCGTCGCTGGAGCCCAAATTCCCCAAACTCCCCAAACTCCCCAAACTCCCTAAACTCCCTACAGTAAACTCCCTACACTCTCTAAACCCCCTAAACCCCCTAAAACCCCCCAAGCTCCCCCTAAGCTCCCAAAATCCCTAAGCCCGGAAACCCAAACCCTTCAGAGGCCGGCTACCCTGTCTCACGCTTTGGCAACGGCGCCTTCCTGGAGAGTTTGAAGGCATATATATATATATATAGTCTTTGTGTGTATGTAGGTTTATATATATATATATATGCATACAGATCACATATATATATATATATACATACTTTTTTTTGAATATGTATATAAAAAAAAAGCAAATCTATGTATATATATATATATATATATATATGTATAGAGAGAGAGAGAGAGAGAGTGAGTGAGTGAGTGAGAGAGAGAGAGAGAGAGAGAGCGAGCGAGCGAAGGCATGGCGTTGGGAGTCTAAGCTCTGAGATCCCTGTGTGCACACCTGGCTCCCATCAGCTTGATGGCCTGATGGAGTTTCTTACTAGGGCTTAGTTTGGGCTTATTCGGGTCTACTAGGGTTTTTTCGGGTTTACTAGGGTTTTTTAGGGCTTATTAGGGTTTTTCGGGCTGATTAGGGCTTTTTAGGGGTTCTGAGGGTTTATGCGGCCTGCGCTAAGTGCTTGGCGAAGGCAGTCTGGCGCCAGCGCGCTGGAAAGCAGCTGCAGATTCAGGACGCGCCAGGTTGCACAGCCCGTGCCAAACGGTTGTGTCTTAAGGGGGTGAGGGTTTAGGGTTTAGGATGTTTAGGGTTTAGGATCTCGAGTTTAGGGTTTAGGATCTCGAGTTTAGGGTTTGGGGAGCATCTGGTGGCATGTTGAGGCTCCATGATCAGCCCCAGGTTCATCCTCTGCTCAACCCATTGCAGCGCCTTGTTTGGGGTTTTAGGGTTTCGGGTTCAGGGTTTAAGGCATGCTGAGCAACAGTATCACGGGAGGCTGCTCTCGCTTTCGGGATGGCATGTTTCCTGAGACGGCTTGTCTTTTTTAGTTGTATTTTGCGCTGCCCGGCCACACACTTCAGCCACTCGATGTCACTGTTGCGCTGCTTTGGCAATCCGTAGACACTGTGCCGCCCGCCAGCCCTACCCGAGGGAAGTTGCGGCCCGTTTCTTGAGCAGCTCCCTTCGCACCATTGGCCCGGTGTGGGGCTCCCGTGATGCTTGTGACCACCTTTGAGCCACGCGCTTCAGGGCTCAAGCGTATGACAGCGGGGCTATGAGCTAATGTGTCCGCTGGGGGTGGTCTCATGTGGCCGAGAACACATGTGCATGTAACTCGGCCGTTGGCATGGCACTCACGGAAAGTAGGGGAGGCCGACAGTTGCTTTTGAGTTTTGTGAAGTGCATCGAACAAGATGTGCATGTTGCCTGACTGTTGCGCTGCTTTGGCAATCCGTAGACACATGTGCCGCCCGCCCGCCCTACCCGAGGGAAGTTGCAGCCCGTTTCTTGAGCAGCTCCCTTCGCACCATTGGCCCGGTGTGGGGCTCCCGTGATGCTTATGACCACCTTTGAGCCACGCGCTTCAGGGCTCAAGCGTATGACAGCGGGGCTATGAGCTAACGTGTCCGCTGGGGGTGGTCTCATGTGGCCGAGAACACATGTGCATGTAACTCGGCCGTTGGCATGGCACTCACGGAAAGTAGGGGAGGCCGACAGTTGCTTTTGAGTTTTGTGAAGTGCATCGAACAAGATGTGCATGTTGCCTGACTGTTGCGCTGCTTTGGCAATCCGTAGACACATGTGCCGCCCGCCCGCCCTACCCGAGGGAAGTTGCAGCCCGTTTCTTGAGCACCTCCCTTCGCACCATTGGCCCGGTGTGGGGCTCCCGTGATGCTTGTGACCACCTTTGAGCCACGCGCTTCAGGGCTCAAGCGTATGACAGCGGGGCTATGAGCTAATGTGTCCGCTGGGGGTGGTCTCATGTGGCCGAGAACACATGTGCATGTAACTCGGCCGTTGGCATGGCACTCACGGAAAGTAGGGGAGGCCGACAGTTGCTTTTGAGTTTTGTGAAGTGCATCGAACAAGATGTGCATGTTGCCTGACTGTTGCGCTGCTTTTGGCAATCCGTAGACACATGTGCCGCCCGCCCGCCCTACCCGAGGGAAGTTGCAGCCCGTTTCTTGAGCACCTCCCTTCGCACCATTGGCCCGGTGTGGGGCTCCCGTGATGCTTGTGACCACCTTTGAGCCACGCGCTTCAGGGCTCAAGCGTATGACAGCGGGGCTATGAGCTAATGTGTCCGCTGGGGGTGGTCTCATGTGGCCGAGAACACATGTGCATGTAACTCGGCCGTTGGCATGGCACTCACGGAAAGTAGGGGAGGCCGACAGTTGCTTTTGAGTTTTGTGAAGTGCATCGAACAAGATGTGCATGTTGCCTGACTGTTGCGCTGCTTTGGCAATCCGTAGACACATGTGCCGCCCGCCCGCCCTACCCGAGGGAAGTTGCAGCCCGTTTCTTGAGCACCTCCCTTCGCACCATTGGCCCGGTGTGGGGCTCCCGTGATGCTTGTGACCACCTTTGAGCCACGCGCTTCAGGGCTCAAGCGTATGACAGCGGGGCTATGAGCTAATGTGTCCGCTGGGGGTGGTCTCATGTGGCCGAGAACACATGTGCATGTAACTCGGCCGTTGGCATGGCACTCACGGAAAGTAGGGGAGGCCGACAGTTGCTTTTGAGTTTTGTGAAGTGCATCGAACAAGATGTGCATGTTGCCTGACTGTTGCGCTGCTTTGGCAATCCGTAGACACATGTGCCGCCCGCCCGCCCTACCCGAGGGAAGTTGCAGCCCGTTTCTTGAGCACCTCCCTTCGCACCATTGGCCCGGTGTGGGGCTCCCGTGATGCTTGTGACCACCTTTGAGCCACGCGCTTCAGGGCTCAAGCGTATGACAGCGGGGCTATGAGCTAATGTGTCCGCTGGGGGTGGTCTCATGTGGCCGAGAACACATGTGCATGTAACTCGGCCGTTGGCATGGCACTCACGGAAAGTAGGGGAGGCCGACAGTTGCTTTTGAGTTTTGTGAAGTGCATCGAACAAGATGTGCATGTTGCCTGACTGTTGCGCTGCTTTGGCAATCCGTAGACACATGTGCCGCCCGCCGCCCTACCCGAGGGAAGTTGCAGCCCGTTTCTTGAGCAGCTCCCTTCGCACCATTGGCCCGGTGTGGGGCTCCCGTGATGCTTGTGACCACCTTTGAGCCACGCGCTTCAGGGCTCAAGCGTATGACAGCGGGGCTATGAGCTAATGTGTCCGCTGGGGGTGGTCTCATGTGGCCGAGAACACATGTGCATGTAACTCGGCCGTTGGCATGGCACTCACGGAAAGTAGGGGAGGCCGACAGTTGCTTTTGAGTTTTGTGAAGTGCATCGAACAAGATGTGCATGTTGCCTGACTGTTGCGCTGCTTTTGGCAATCCGTAGACACACGTGCCGCCCGCCCGCCCTACCCGAGGGAAGTTGCAGCCCGTTTCTTGAGCAGCTCCCTTCGCACCATTGGCCCGGTGTGGGGCTCCCGTGATGCTTGTGACCACCTTTGAGCCACGCGCTTCAGGGCTCAAGCGTATGACAGCGGGGCTATGAGCTAATGTGTCCGCTGGGGGTGGTCTCATGTGGCCGAGAACACATGTGCATGTAACTCGGCCGTTGGCATGGCACTCACGGAAAGTAGGGGAGGCCGACAGTTGCCTTTGAGTTTTGTGAAGTGCATCGAACAAGATGTGCATGTTGCCTGACTGTTGCGCTGCTTTTGGCAATCCGTAGACACATGTGCCGCCCGCCCGCCCTACCCGAGGGAAGTTGCAGCCCGTTTCTTGAGCACCTCCCTTCGCACCATTGGCCCGGTGTGGGGCTCCCGTGATGCTTATGACCACCTTTGAGCCACGCGCTTCAGGGCTCAAGCGTATGACAGCGGGGCTATGAGCTAATGTGTCCGCCTACGCGCTTCTGGGCTTAGGGGCATGACATCCGGGGCTATGTGCTAATGCCTCGGGGCGGTCCCATGGTGGTTAACCACAGAATGCCTGTGGCAACTCGGCCGTGGGCATGACACTCATGGAAAGTAGGGGAGCCAAGCCTAACCCTAAACCCTGAACCCTGAACCGTAAACCCTAAACCCCAAACCCCAAACCCCTAAACCCCAAACCCTAAGCCCGCTGTTGAAGTTCCGGGAGAAGCCCCTCGACATGGCGCATGTTGGGGGTGGAACTGAAATCGGCACACCCCCGGCCCGAAACGCGCAGAAGTCAAGCCTCCGCGGATAGTTACTGCGATGAGTCCGAAAGCCTCAGGGAGCTGATGGAAACCAGTCTCTCAAGGGTTTAGGGTTTAGGGTTTAGGGCCCCGAAGTGCGCGTCTTAGCCGCCAAGAACTTGCTCCCTGTCCTTTCTCTGCGTTACATCCTGGGCCATTTGCCAGTACTTGCCCCTCAGAGGGCCCTCGTGACTTGCCCCACTTGGAGATTCAGGGTACTTTTAACCCCGATGATAACTGCACTTATACGCCTCCTAAGTTTTTCCGAGTGGGTCATGAGTAGACTTATAATTGGGGTTATAAGTACCCATGAACCTCCAAGCAGGAATGTGGCAAGCCGCACAAAGTCCAGTTCGACGCCGCGGCAGCGATGCTCGCAGAATCTTGCCACCCTTTTGGAGCGAGCACGCGTGCGCGTGCGCGTGTGAGCAGGCTATGAGCTAGGCCCAAACCCTTTTGTTGCGCTTACTCCCAACCAGAATTCAGGAAAGCTGAGGAGATGGGTTAAACTAGGACGCAGGATTGCGAAGAACAGTACCTAGCTGGTTGCTGGATTTCTTGCCCAGCCCTTGCGGATTACCTTCTGGTAGCCCTCGTCCTTAGATCACCTCTTACGAGCTTTTTGGAGCTTTTTGAGGGGCTGGGATGCACGATTCTTCGTCTCCTTTTTGTAAGGCCTTCAAGGCCGCCACCTGACCTTGCCTACTATCCCACAGGAAGTGGCCGGTGTTGCTCCAAGCAGCTTCCACCGGAGCCTGGGACGTTTCGTGGTTTCCCGGGCAAGAGCACTCAAAGGGCGTAAAATGTAGTTTTACTTATGGTGTGCATGTAAATCATCCGCTGCAGTATTATATTACATGTATATATACATATATACATATACATATACATATACATGTACATGTACATGTACATGTACATGTACATATACATATACATATACATTTACATATACATGTACATGTACATGTACATATACATATACATTTACATATACATGTACATATACATATACATATACATATCTATCTTATAGCTGTAGAATCTGATGGCGTGTTTTTCAGTCCAGGGTTGGGGCAAGCTAGGCCTCAGGAAGGTTCAGTCATGATCCTGTGTTCGACGGGCCCCCCTAAGCACTCAACCCTAAACCCACAGCCCTAAGCGCAAAGCCCCACCCTAAACCCTAAACCCTGAACCCTTCTGCGTTCATCCCTCAACCCTGACAACCCTGAGCTTGTTGATTCTCCGAGTGGCTTCTTAGCCTCGGAGTCCTGAGCTGCCTCAGGCCTGAAGCCAGTGCATCCTAAACCCTGAAAACCCTAAAGTCCCAAATCCTCAAACCCTAAAGTCCTCAACCCTCAAACCCTAAAGTCCTAAACCCCTCAAAGCCTGAAGTCCTAAACCCTCAAACCCTACACGCCCTACTGAACTCTCCTCCATCAGGATCTACATAACCCTCAAAAACCTCAAAGCCCTGCTAAACTCTCCTCCATCAGGATCTACATGATTGGGGACAACCCTGCGGCTGACATCCGCGGCGCCAATGCGGCGGAGGGCCCCTGGAGGTCCATTCTCGTGCGCACAGGCGCGGGAGTCAGGGTTTAGGGTTTAGGGTTTAGGGTTTAGGGTTTAGGGTTTAGGGTTTAGGGTTTAGGGTTTAGGGTTTAGGGTTTAGGGTTTAGGTTTTAGGGAGTCGGGGGTGTCAGGTTTCTACGAAGAGGGCCTCAGGGGATGCAGTGGCAGGTTTCCGCAATAGGGGCTTTAAGGCTTCAAGTTTTCAACAGCGTGTTGGTTTTCGGGGTTGAGAGGGTGTCAGGGGTTCATGCCCTAAATTACCCTAAGCCCTAAGCCGTAAGCCGCAAACCAGTGTACTGAGCATCATGAGGAGCCCATCATGTCCGCTGAGGCTTTCTGGATCTCACGGTTTTGTGTTAATGGGGATCCGAAGGCCTAAGCCCTGCCTGAGCCCTGCCTAAGCCTCAAAGAAGCAAAAAAGCAGGGAAGGCGGAACAACCGGAACGCGGTAGGCAGGGAGGTGTCTTGCACACCCCTAAAACCCCAACCTCCAAAAACCCCTGATAACCTGAGGCCCTCTCAACCCCGAATCCCAAAACACCTTAGATCCTCCACTTTGCAACCTTCGACCTAGACCCGAATCTCCCGCAAAACCCTTAAAGAACCTTTGACCCTCAAACCTTCCCTCCTAGAGTACCCTGAGGCTAAGCACTTAGAACTGCAATTTCCTTACTTCCCACCCCTGAACCCCCAACTCCTAGTGCTAACTACCCAGGAATCGCCTTCCCTTTGAGGTGTTTACCAGGGACCCTCCTACTTTGCCGGCGTGACGGCCGAGGCGCGTCTCGTGGCTTTTTCGGTTTAGGGGTTGTGGTTCCTCGTTTTCGGGGGTTGAGGGTTTAGGGTTCAGGGCTTCCTATCACACAGGCGCTGTTGCGCTTTCCTAAACCCTAAACCCTAAACCCTAAACCCTAAACCCTAAACCCTAAACCCTAAACCCTAAACCCTAAACCCTAAACCCTAAACCCTAAACCCTCAACCCTCAACCCTCAACCCTCAACCCTCAACCCTAAACCCTAAACCCTAAACCCTAAACCCCTAAACCCTAAACCCTCAACACTCAACCCTCAACTAAACCCTAAACCCTAAACCGCGTCATTGGGCCGCCATGTCTGGGCAAACTCAAGAGAATTTCGCCAGAGAGCCCCACATGCGCCTCATTGACGGTGTCGACCTTGAACTATTGTATTTGTAGGGTTTAGGGTTTAGGGTTTAGGGTTTAGGGTTTAGGGTTTAGGGTTTAGGGTTTAGGGTTTAGTCTTACTTAAGCTACTCCATTATATATATATATATATACATATAGACACACACACACACACATCTGTATTTCTTCATGGAGGCTTTTTGGGCAGGGGTTCCGGGTGGCAGATGGATGTCGAGACGTTCGATGATTGTGGAGAGCCCCCATCCTCTCCCGAAATAGGGTTTAGGGTTTAGGGCTTAGGGTTCTTCCTTTCGACTACGATCTTAACTGTCTAAGAACTCTTAAGACTTCGTCCCTGCCTGACCTTTTCACTCGTTCGTGCTTTGTTTCTAGGATGCCGGCGAGGCGTAATCTTTTGAACCCTCAACCCTAAACTCTCAACCTTGAGCCCTAAACACTGAACTTGAACCCCCCCTATAACCCTAAACCCTAAACCCTAAACCCTAAACCCTAAACTCTTCAGTGTTTTTGAACCCTACACCCCTAAACTCTGAACCCTGAGTGAGCCCCTAAACACTACGCCGGAACGAGCCCTGAACCACAGCCTCAGTGACCGGTCGAGGCGCCTTGGCGGCTGGAGCCAGACGTTCGTGAGGCTAGGCTTAGGGTTCAGGCAGGGCTTGAAGGGAGGGTTTAGGGTTCAGGGTTTAGGGTTTAGGGTTTAGGGTTTAGGTTTAAGGGTTTAGGGGTGCAGGGATTGCAGGGGTTTAGGGTCCCCAAGTGCCTGACCCGTTTCAGCTGATTGTTTTTGATTGCTGCGCTGTGGGAAGGCCTTTAGCCCGAAGCCAAGAAACCTCAAAGGCTAAACCCGAAATCCTAAACCGAAACCCCCCCCCCCCCCCTAAACCCTAGCCCCTAGCCTTGAAACCCTATACCCTAAACCCTAAAGCCTACACCCTACACCCTAAACCCTAGCCCCTAAATCTTGAAACCCCAATACCCAAGAAGCTCTCGGTGCCCCCGTTGGGCTAAAGGCGCTGAGGACCACTTGGAGGTTCAGCGGTACTTCTAAACCCTAAACCCTAAACCCTAAACCCTAAACCCTAAACCCTAAACCCTAAACCCTAAACCCTAAAGCCTAAACCGTAAACCCTAAACCCTAAACCCTAAACCCTAAACCCTAAACCCTAAACCCTAAACCCCAAACCCTAAACCCTAAACCCCAAACCTAAACCCTAAACCTTAAACCTTAAACCCTACCCCTATAAGTCTACTTAGAACCTACTTAGGGGACTTACGGGGCTTATAAGTGCAGTTATAATTTGGACCTAACCCTACAAGTCTACTTAGAACCTACTTAGGGGACTTACGGGGCTTAGAAGTGCGTGCAGTGATAATTTGGGTTGTAAGTACCCGGAACCTCAGGATTTGGGTTAAGGGTTTAGCCCCCCGAAGCAAATGCCCCACACCGCCTACAGGGTTTAGGGTTTAGGGTTTAGGGGTTTAGGGTTTAGGGTTTAGGGCCCCACTCATGCTCGCCATCGGGTCGCTGCCCGGTAGGCCGTTCGCCGGCTGCTGGCTGAGAGCAAAGATGCTGCGTAGGCGTTTTGCCAGGGGGGTTCTCTAAATTCAAGGTCCCTTCTTTGTAAGGAGGTTTTAGGCTTCGGGTTTGGGGTTCCCAACTAATCCACTGCATATCTGAGCCCCCCCCCCCCCCCCCAAAAGGGGGCACAAGGGGACCAAACTTTAGAGTGCTCATGCGCGTGCCATCGTGACGAGCCTGAAAGGCAGGCCCCTGGAGAAAAAGGATCTTTACGATTTTGGATTTTTAGGGTTTTTAGGTGAGACTGTGCGAATTGCGGGGCGTGTTATGCCTGAAGACGCTTGAACTTGATACCCCTAAAGCCACAAGGCTTTGGTGGACATGGACAGACCACAACCTGACCTCAAACCGCTTGAGTTTACCAAAGTTTACTAACACTCCACGCTGATGGTACAGCGTTTAGGGTTTGGGTTTTAGGTTTAAGGCTCAGGGGATTGGGGGGTTTAGGGTTTAGGGTTTCGGGTTTAGTGCAAGTATGGCAGACTCCCCCTAACAACCCCAGAACTTAGGGGGGCACTTGGGAAACAATTTGTAATGTTTGTTTACGATAACTCTTTCAGGAAAAGCTAGAATTAGATTTCTGCAAGGGGTTTCAAGTTCATCTTCCAGGTGATCAGAACCGCCCCCACCCCCCCTCCCCCCCCTCCCATCCTCTTCAGCAAACACGGCGCCCATGGCGCGCCCTGATGTGTGCCACCTGGAGTCACTGTGGCTGAGATTCTGCTTTTGTTTTTCTTGGGGGCCCTTTGGGGTTTAGGGTTTAGGGTTTAGGGCTAGGGTTTAGGATTTAGGGTTTAGGGATTAGGGTTTAAGGTACCCTATGATGCCTTGAGGGGAATATAGGGGGGTGTGTCATGTCAGGGGTAGGTTGAGGGAGCCCTTTAGGGGAGGATGCAACACTCTTAGGCCTTGAATAAGCTTCAAACCTCTCAAGCCCCCAAGCCCCCCCACGTGTGCTGTGGCCATCTTGCCGAAACATGAGAGAGCTGGGAGGCCTTCGGCATTTGAGTGGAGCTGACCATGCCGTAAGGGTACCTACTGTGAAAGACCTATAACTATGGCAGAGGAGCATCAGCCACAACTGGCTTTCATGCACCCTAAACGTTTTTCCTGGTTTATGCCGGGCTACTTTAGAGCTTCGAGTGGAGGGCTGGAGTGAAGTTTGCGAGCACCCCCCACCCCCCCCGCCAAGAGCTGAGGAGGTTGCAGCATGAGCCCTTCTGGGATCACGTTCCCATCGTACAGAGGCCACGGCCCCATGCGGGCGCCACTGGCAGCAGGTTGTTTTGTTTGTTGCGGTTTGGGAGCGCCTCGGGGGCCTAGGGCTGAAGTTCTGTGAAGTTCTGTGAGGTTGGTAGATGCGCATCTGTCTCAACAGTTTGGTCAATCCTCATCGCATCCCTTGTGTAGAGTGTAGAGCAGAGCTCGCATAGGCTTGGCCTTGAGAGCGCACATTTTTTAGCAGAAGGTTCTCGGGAACCGCTTAAACCCCCAGAAAAACCACCCCAAAGCTAAACCCTAAACCCTAAACCCTAAACCCTAAACCCTAAACCCTAAACCCTAAACCCTAAACCCTAAACCCGTCAGGCCATGGAGCGTTCCTGGCCCTTGTGAGCCCGGAGCGGCCACGCTCCTGGATGCCGGCGGATTGGCGCTTCGGCCCATTTCGCGGGAGTTTTAGGGTTTTAGGGTGTATTCTGGGGTTTCGGGTTTGGGCTTTAGGGTTCAAGTAGGGGGTTTAGGGTTAGGGTTCAGGGTTTAGGATTTTGGGGTCTGATTAGGTTCATGGACTCGTCGGTTTATCGAGGTGAAGAGTTGAGGGTTCAGGTTTTGGTTCAGGGCCATACTCTGGGGTTGTATGTCAGAAGGGCCCCTAGGCAGGAGGCCCACATTGTTTTGTAATATAGGGGTCGGAAGAACTGCTAAGAGTATCCCTTGTGGCCCCTTGATAATTACCCTTAAACCCTAAACCCTAAACCCTAAACCCTAAACCCTAAACCCTAAACCCTAAACCCTAAACCCTAAACCCTAAACCCTAAAACCCTATTCTAATGATTGAGGGCCCTGTAAGGGGGTACTGGGGTTCTAGAAAGCAGCCCAAGCTCCCGGCTGCCCAAACCCCAGTGCCCGGTTTCGACCGCCGGCGCCATGAACCCTAGACCCGAAAATCCTAAACCCTAAGCCCTAAACCCTAAACCCCAGCTGCTTGGGGACAAGCTGCACTCAACCTCTGGTTGTGGTGCTGCCTGCCAGCAGTTCCTGCGTCCCCGCCGCCTCCGGACGACTTTGCAAGCAGCCACTCCCGAGCGGTCCCGAAAATTCCGAAGAATGCTTTAACCCTTAGCCCAAAACCCTAAACCCATTCCCCCCTTCTCTCTCTGCCCCTCTCTCTCCCTCTCTGGCTCTCCCCTCTCTGGCCCTCTCTCGCCCTCTCTCGCCCACTCTCGCCCTCTCTCGCCCTCTCTCGCCCTCTCTCGCCCTCTCTCGCCCTCTCTCGCCCACTCTCGCCCTCTCTCGCCCTCTCTCGCCCTCTCTCGCCTCCCCTCTCTCCCCTCTCTCCCCTCTCTCCCCTCTCTCCCCTTCTCTCCCCTTCTCTCCCCTTCTCTCCCCTTCTCTCCCCTTCTCTCCCCTTCTCTCCCCTTCTCTCCCCTTCTCTCCCCTTCTCTCCCCTTCTCTCCCCTTCTCTCCCCTTCTCTCCCCTTCTCTCCCCTTCTCTCCCCTTCTCTCCCCTTCTCCCCCCTTCTCCCCCCTTCTCCCCCCTTCTCCCCCCTTCTCCCCCCTCTCTTCTCTCTTCTCTCTTCTCTCTTCTCTCTTCTCTCTTCTCTCTTCTCTCTTCTCTCTTCTCTCTTCTCTCTTCTCTCTTCTCTCTTCTCTCTTCTCTCTTCTCTCTTCTCTCTTCTCTCTTCTCTTTTCTCTCTTCTCTCTTCTCTCTTCTCTCTTCTCTCTTCTCTCTTCTCTCTTCTCTCTTCTCTCTTCTCTCTTCTCTCTTCTCTCTTCTCTCTTCTCTCTTCTCTCTTCTCTCTTCTCTCTTCTCTCTTCTCTCTTCGCTCTTCGCTCTTCGCTCTTCGCTCTTCGCTCTTCGCTCTTCTCTCTTCTCTCTTCTCTCTTCTCTCTTCTCTCTTCTCTCTTCTCTCTTCCCTCTTCCCTCTCTTACTCTTCTAGGCCCCCCTTGATATTCAACCCTCCTTAACCTGTACTATCAAACATCCCGTGTCTAAGACGACATTATAGGCTCATGGGGATACTGTATTTCGGAGCCAGGGGGAGGAAGTGTCTGAAGTCCTGAATCTTAAACCTCTAAGCCTAAGACTTCGCCAGAGCATGCCTTGAGACTGAGACGGACTCGTGAGGACCTGGCGATGGACGCCATGCACCTGCCTTCCCTGAGGGCGCCGCTTGGCTAAAAGCCCTAAGCCCTAAGCCCCAAACCCCAAACCCCAAACCCCAAACCCCAAACCCTAAACCCTAAACCCTAAACCCTAAACCCTAAACCCTAAACCCTAAACCCTAAACCCTAAACCCTAAACCATTGGTCTTCAACTTGCCTCGGCTCTCCTAGCCTTGGGGCGCGCAGGGGGGGGGGGGATCTACAACTAAGCACCCCCCCCCCATACTTCTGAGGAGACTCTAGAAGCAGTGCCATGGCAACCCCAAGACCCCAGAATTCCAAACCCCCGAAGGCCTAAGCCCTAAACCCTAAGCCCTAAGCCCGAAACCTTCCGGGCGGCTACCTTGCCGCAACAAAGGGCTGTGGGTGAAGGTCCCTAAGTTAGGGCCATCTGTGGTCCTGACTAAAAAACACCAACCCTAAAAACCCTACACCGCAAGCCATGGCACCAAGACGAACGAACAGGCACCAGGGACCCAAGGGAATAAATATCAAGAGCATTCTTGTGGTTGTATGAGGCCCAAGAGCATAATTCATGGTTCTAGGGGACCCTCAGCCCAAAACCTTAGACTCTAAACCCTACACCCTAAACCTTGAACCCTGAACCCTGATCCCTAAACCCTAAACCCTAAACCCTACACCCTCACACCTCAACCCTCAACCCTCAACCCTAAACCCTAAACCCTAAACCATAAGCCCTACACCGCATGGAGGTATGTGCAGCCTCTGGCCTACCAGTACTATGCCGATGCCTTGGAGCGCACCGATAGGCCGACGTGAGCGCCATCAGCCCCCCTAAGCTTGCTTCAGGGTTTAGGGTCTAGGGTTTAGGTTTTAGGGTTTAGGTTTTAGGGTTTAGGGTTTAGGGTGTAGGGTTTAGGGTTTAGGTTTTGAGGTAAGGGTTTGGAGGTTTAGGGTTTAGAGCCTAGGGGATAGTTGTTGAATTCTCTTGGGGGCTTCTTGGGCGCTTGGGGTGGAAGCTTTTCAGTCTCAGAACCGGGAGAGGAAGGAAGCAAAGCAAAGTCGCGACAAACCCAAACTTCGAACAGAGAACCCTAAACCTGAGCCCCTAAAACCCTAGACCCGAAACGCTAGACCCTAAACCCTAAGCCTTTAACGCTAAACCCCCAAACCCTAAACCCTAAACCCTAAACCCTAAACCCTAAACCCTAAACCCTAAACCCTAAACCCTAAACCCTAAACATTAAACATTAAACCCTAAACCCTAAACCCAAACCCTAAACCCTAAACTCTTAAAAAGCAGGATCGGCTGGCGCTTCCCTTCGTGGCGCGCCCAGGACCCGTCGCTGGTGGAGTCGACGCTTGCCGAGCACCGGTTTTTGGGGGGTTTAGGGTTTAGGGTTTAGGGTTTAGGGTTTAAGGTTTAGGGTTCAGGGTTTAGGGTTTTGGGTTTAGGGTTTTTGCAGGGGCTTTTGGGTGGTTGAGGGGGGGGGGCCTTTACGGCTTGAGGGGTTTGGGGGTTTGAAGGGTTTCCAGATTTTTTTGAGAGAGCTTTGGGGCGGCTTGAGGGGGGTTTTGGGGGGTTCGGGCTGGCGGTTTTAAAGAGCTTCAGGAAATCTTGGGGGCAGATGTCCTGCCTAGAATTAGAAACCTCGGTGCAGGGTTTAGGGTTTAGGGTTTAGGGTTTAGGGTTTAGGGTTTAGGGCTTCTTGGGGAAATCTTCCCAAAAGTGCCTGTGGACTGCCCCAGGATGACTCTCTCCAACGGCCTTCACACGGTTTGGCACGCCTTCCAGGAGGCAAAGCTGGGGTTTAGGGTTTAGGGTTTAGGGTTTAGGGTTTCGGGTTTAGGGTTTAGGGTTTAGGGTTTCGGGTGGGCTTTGGAGAGAGATCCCTGCGACATGTTGTGACGGAACCGCCACGAAGGGTTGAAGTGTTGGGTGAGTGGTTTGTCCACATGTTTGGCTCAGGGATGTGTCGAATCTGTTGCAATGTCTACAGAGACGCAGCCACTGGTGGGGGCCGCTGCTGGCGTATCAGCGACTGCAGCGGTCCCAGCTGGTTCTGCGCCGGCGGCAAAAAATGTCGCAGGCATCGGAGCGGGCTCCAGTGGTTGTTGCAGCTGGAAGTGCTGTTGCGGAGGCGTCTGCGCATTCTTTGCGGTGCTGGGTGTGGCACTGCTCATCCTCATCTGGACCACGCGAGCAGCTTCGACTTTCGTGATATTTGACACCACATATACCTATGACAACTACTTCTTGCCCATGACCGCCTACATGGGCCTGGGGCTTCTCGACACGGTCTCTATGATGGGCTGGTACGAGGGCCTCACGGTGGACAACCCAATGATCGGAGAGGGCCCCGGGCCGAACACGCAGACCTTCTATGCCTGGCACGACGTCCGCGACTTGCTTTTGGACTTTGGCCCCAGGATCAAAAATGGTACCATGCAGCGCTACAACGAGTTGGGCATGGCGGTTCAGAATGACCGCATGTGGCCCGAAACGAAGACCATCGCGCTCGGCTACTCCAACAAGGATCACGCGCTTGTGAGGCCATATCTGGGCAACTCCCTCGATGGCAGCAGGGAGGAAGACGCTGACTGCGATGGGTCAACGTGTTGGAACAGCGCTTGGCTGCGTCAGGTGTTCCGAGAGCGTTTCGCCAGCACAGACACGTTGTCGACTAGCGACTTGCCTTGGCTTGTCACCGTTGTCCTGCACAAAGTCCATCTGAACCTTGACCTCACGGACGAGGAAGCGCAAGACTTTGCCGCTTTCATGACAACTTTCATCGTGCCCCAGCCGCTTGCTCCAGAAATTGCCTACTGGACCCTCACTGACTTTCTCCTGCAGATCTCAAGCACCCTGGAGCAGAAGGCGGCAATCATGTCAAGAACCAAGGAGGCCATCAAGGCGAAGTGGCCCAAAGAAGGCTGGGAGAGCAAGGAAGAAGAGTTGACCCTACATCCCCTTGGGAACTACTTTTTTTGTTTATCCAAGAGGATTTTAAAGAATACTATATTCTTATTAAGGTTCTAAGAGGATAGAAAGAATAGTTATATCTTTATTCAGGTTCTAAGGGGGGAGCCCAGGACCTTGGTGGCCAGCGCCATGGTGGACTCCCTGGCTCTGGCGGGCGGCTTGTCGGTGCCTACGGTGCCTAGGACCCAGATGGTTCCCTTTGTTTTTGGCATTTAGGTTCCCTTATAAGCCCCCTTCTAAACCAAAAAGGGGCATACTTTTTTTTCTTGGGCCACTCTTGGGTCTACCCTAAACCCTAAACCCTAAACCCTAAACCCTAAACCCTAAACCCTAAACCCTAAACCCTAAACCCTAAACCCTAAACCCTAAACCCTAAACCCTAAACCCCTAAACCCTAAACCCTAAACCCTAGGTGCTGGACTTCATGGTCGCGCTGCTCTTCATGGATGAGAGCCCCGCGGCGCCCCTGACGCTGGAGGACATGGCGAACCGCGGGAAGCTCCACAACCTCATGCTCCCTTCTAGCAGGGGAGGAGGGAAGGAGGGAATTCTAGGGCCCATATATATATATATGTATATATGTATATATATATATACAAGTTTAGGGTTTAGGGTTTAGGGTTTAGGGGTTTAGGGTTTAGGGTTTAGGGGGTAGCTCATTCCCCCATGCCCTACTAAGCAGCCGTAAGGCTGGAGACGATCCGGCGCTACCCTCCGGTCGCGGGCGTTCCGCGATGGATCACGAACGACAATGGCACGACGTGGACGCATCAGATCCCAAACGTGGCACAGGCGCTGCGTGACGCGGCGGTCTTTCCGAGCCCCCTCGAGTTCCAGCCGGGACGGCCGGGCCTCAACGTTTTGAATGAAAGTCTCTCGATTGGGTGGGCCGACTTCGCCCTTGTGAATGACGATGTCTCGGACCCCGACTCCCACTCCTGCCCTGGGAAGAGCTTGAGTGCCCAGATCATCCTGGCGTTCATTAAGGAGCTGGAGGCTTCGGGACCCTGGGAGGCGGAGTCGACAGCCATCAGCCTGAACATCTATAGATCCTCGGGCGTTGTGCTGAAGAAGCAGAAGCCTTCCGGACAGTCATGGGCAACGCAGGCCTTCGAGACCTTGCCCCTGACCTGGATTTGCAGCATCTACCCGTTGTCGAGCTGGATTGAGGTCTGCCCGCTTGTCCTCGCCTGTGGCTCGACGACGTGTGACGTCGTGTGACGCGGCCCTCCTTCGCCCAGGCACACGACCAGGTGAGAGGGCTGCAAGGAGATTTTTTGTGCCGCTGGGGCCAGATAGATCCAGAAAGCACTTGTCCGTGCACGCCGGGCGCCTTGAGACCAAAAAGCCCTACAACGCAGAGACTTGTTGTCGACACCTCCGAACCCTAACCCCTAAACCCTAAACCCTAAACCCTAAACCCTAAACCCTAAACCCTAAACCCTAAACCCTAAACCCTAAACCCTCTACTCGCACCAGCTGCCAATTAAACAACTTCTCGGACCCAGATTCTTCACTCTTGCTCCGAGAAGTGCTTGAGCTCCCAGGTTATCTACTAATTCCTTCATAAAGAACCTGCAAAATACAAAATCAAGATAGTCTTCCTTATAAGATCAAGATGTTCTTCCTTATAAGGGTAGCATAGGGGTTCTTGTTTTTCTTATTCTTTTGTAAGGGGAATATAGGGATTCTTATTTTTCATTCTTTTGGGGTTCTTAGGCAAGTAGTAGCTATTGCTGTAGTCCTTTTGAGAGGTTAAACAGTGTGCCATGGGGTACCTCTCTGAGGCGGCTAACCCCCCCCCCATGGGCTTCTGGGGGACTCCTCGCCCCCCCAAACCGCCGAAGCCCCAAACTCCAAACCCTAAAGCCTAAGGCCTAGTATCCCGTGAGCTCCCTAAACCCCCAAAATCCCTAAAGAAACCCTTCAAAACCCCAAGCAAAACAATTTTGAGGAGCCTGGAAACCTCCCGAGTCGAGGGCGAGAGCTCCCCTTCTAGCCCTAAACCCTAAACCCTCTAGACCCTCTAAACCCTAAACCCTCTAGACCCTCTAAACCCTCTAAACCCTCTAAACCCTCTAAACCCTCTAGACCCTCTAAACCCTCTAAACCCTCTAAACCCTCTAGACCCCCTAAACCCTCTAAAACCTCTACACCCTAAACCCTTTAAACCCTAAACCCTAAACCCTAAACCCTAAACCCTAAACCCTAAATCCGAAAGGCCCTGCAGTCGTCCCCGGGCTGCGGCCGCCGCTGCGCCGGCGCGGCCCTCCTGGGCGAAGCGCTGCAGCTCGGCAGCTCTGTTTCTAGGCTTTGTAGGGTTTAGGGTTTGGGGTTTGGGGTGTAGGGTTTCGGGTCTAGGGTTTAGGGGCGCTGGTGGGCTGTGGAGGGTTTTCTGGGGGGTTTTTGGGGTTTCGCAAGGCACGTGCTGCACGACACCCTCGCTCGGCCGCACGAGAGGCTGGCAAGCTACGCAGGATGCCTTGCAGCAAAGGAGTCTCATGCCGAGGTCGAACGCGTCAATCCCTAAACCCTAAACCCTAAACCCAAAACCCTAAACCCTAAACCCTAAACCCTAAACCCTAAACCCTAAACCCTAAACCCTAAACCCTAAACCCTAAACCCTAAACCCTAAACCCTAAACCATCTCCTTACTCATACAACGGATACCCGTCGAAGCATCATGCACTCTGAAAGCCCTTTGCATCTCCCCTGAGCCCGTAAACAAGCCCCAAACAAAGGCGCACAAAAGCCCACTGCCCCAACTAGTCTTTCAAGCAGGCCGCAAGAAACCCAATGGAGGAAGCCCGAAGCCCTAAGCCCTAAGCCCCAAACCCTAAACCCTTAAACCCTAAACCCTAAACCCTAAACCCTAAACCCTAAACCCCAAACCCTAAACCCTAGTAGTGGAGGAGAGCTCCCCAAGAAATTGGAGCCCCGGAGGCCTGCCGGAGTGGAAGCCCTGAGGGCCGCCTTAGCCGCCGCGCCGGGGGACCCTGGGCTTCCTCCTTTGTGTTTTGGGCGTTTAGGGTTTAGGGTTTGGGGTTTAGGGTTTGGGGTTTGGGGTTTGGGGTTTGGAGTTTAGGGTTTAAACCCTAAACCGTTTAGAGTTTTAGGGGTATGTGTATGTTGGGCTTCAGGGGATTTAAGGGTTTTAGGGGGTTTCGGGTTCAGGGGTTTTCGGGAATTTAGGGTTTCGGGTTTAGGGGTTTTAGGGGTATTCATAGGATAGGGGATTAGGTGTTCAGGGGCTTAGGGGTTTAGGGGTATACATAGGGCTTTAGGGGGTTTAGGGGGTTGAGGGGTTGAAGGGCTGTTGTGGGAATGTGTGTAGGGGTTTGGCGGTTCTTAGGAGTTTTAGGGGTATTGGGGGCTTTAGGGGTTTAGGGTTTAGGGGTTTAGGTGTCTAAGGGTTTAGGGTTTAGGGGTTTAGTGTTGAGATTTTAGGGTTGGGGCTTCGGTTTTAGGTTCAGGATTAAGGGGGATTAAGGGCCAGATTTCTCGAACAAGTTGCGCTCGGACGTTACGGGGCTTTGGGGAAGTTGGTCAAAAGTGCTGGGCTGGGGCTCAAAGCCCGAAAAACCCAGACCCCAAACTCCAAACCCTTGGGTATGGGGTCTGGGTTTCGGGGTCTGAGGGCTTCTGAGGTGCTAAGACCTAAACCCTAAAGCCGAAATCAACCCTCACCCCTCAACCCCTCAACCCCTCAACCCCTCAACCCCTCAACCCTCAACCCTCAACCCTCAACCCTCAACCCTAAACCCTAAACCTTAAACCTTAAACCCTAAGCCCTTTTTGGATGCCCTCAGGTGGCCCCGGCTGCGTGAGGAGCGCTTGCCGCTCCTGCGAACGCTGCCCCTGGCCTGCTGTGCTGAGGGCTTAGGGTTCAGGGCTCAGGGGCTTCAGGGGTTTGGGGTTGAGGGTGTAGGTAGGGGCTTCGGGAGGTTTGCTTTAGGGGCTTCAGAAGGTTTGGGGTTTAGGGTTTAGGGGCTTCAGGTGGGTTTGGTGCAGGGGCTTCAGAGGGTTTGGGGTTTAGGGTTTAGGGGCTTCAGGTGGGTTTGGTTTAGGGGCTTCAGGGGGTTTGGGGTTTAGGGATGGGTTTAGGGGGTTGATGTCTGGCATGGTTCTCTTGTCTGAAGTGCTGGCGCGCACCCCCAACCCCAAACATTAACCCCTAAACCCGAAACCCTAAACTGAACTGCTTGCACACCGATGTCCTCAAGACTCCATGCCCTTGATAGCCTCAAGAAGTTCTGTTGCACTGTGCACTTGGAATTTCATGGGTACTATAAGCAGGGATATGAGTAACGAAACAATGGTCATGACCTACTTCAGGGTACTCCCTTGCCTGCACCACCCGCCGACTATCCTTAAGGAGGGCTTATATATTATGCTTCAAGGGGGAGTTGGGGTTGGGGTGCTGTTAATAAGTCTACCTCATAGGTACCCATGAAGCTTCACAGAGGTGTTTCCGCGCACACAGGCTTCCTGAAGGGCAGCTACAGGGTCTGTCTCAGGCGTAAAGCTCGGAGCTGCTTCCAGTTCAAGGTTTAGGGTTTAGGGTTTAGGGTTTAGGAGTTGTTTTTCGGCCCAGGCAGTCAATGCAGCAGTCCTAGCTGTAGCAAACGTTTTTTTTTTGTTTTTGGGTGGGTGGGTGGGTTCCATGTTCCTTCGATCTTGTAAGATTGAAGTAGGGTCACTGTAGGGGTCACCCTACTACAGTGTCGTTTCATATCTGCACCGAACAGTCAGCGTAATCTTGAACACCCAGAAGCTTGGGCAAGGGGCCAGGCACACATGAGTCCGCATGTCTTCAGGGGCTTGGGGTTCAGGGTTTTGGGGTTTAAGGGGTTTAGGGGGTTTAGGGTTTCGCGATTTAGGGGGTTGAGGGATTTGGGTTTGGGGTTTTAGGGTTTGGGCTTTAGGTTTTGGGGGCTTAAGCAATTGAGGGTTTCAGCGCTTTGGGGGTTTCAGGGGTTGAGGGCATCCCGAATCCCGAAAGAAGCGACATTGCGGGCCTAGAGGGCAACCTAAAGCATCCCATACAAGTAGGCGCTGACCACAAGAGTACCTTCTTTGTCTTTATCAGGCTCTTTCCAGGACCTTGAAGTTCGAATTACAGGCCCTTCCCCCACAAGATGGTCAACTTGAAGGTTCTCAGGATATTCCTGGATCATTAGCGGCCGTAGTCTTGTGCTGAAAACGAGAGCCCCAAGCCCCATACCTTGACAGTCCTGACTAGGGATGATAAAAGGGAGGACTAGAGCCCCCATAAGCACTCGTAGTATAAGGGGGAACATCCAAAGACCCCTGTCCCCCCAACACCTGTGCTGAGCGTGGCTGAGACCCTGAGACATCATGCCCTCAGTTATTCATCGGTCCATTGTCTGGACTGTCGAGGTTGCTACTGCCAGATGCTGTCTTAGAAGCCTTCGCGGAGGCTGGGGGCACTGCTCTCCAAAAGCAGCAAGCCCTAACCTCAACCCTAAACCCTACACCCTAAATCCCTCCCTTGAGGACAGGCTTAGGGTTTAAGGTTTAGGGTTTAGGGCTTAGGGTTTAGGGTTTAGGGTTTAGGGTTCGATTATGGACTCCTCAACTTGTTGCAAAAAGGTTGCAGGAGCACGGTCTTGTGGTCATACAAAACAGGAGCCCGAGTACCAATTCGAATCTCCTCAGAACCTGAGGGTTTTTGGGTTTAGGGTTTCGGGTTTAGGGTTTAGGGGAGCCTGAGTACCAATACGAATCTCCTCAGAACCCTTAGGAATCATCGCACCAACTCCTCAAACATCTCCACTCTAATCACATGTTTAAACCCCAAACCTAACCGTCCCTGACCCCTAACCCCTAACCCCTAAACCCTACAACCCTGAACCCCTAAACCCTGGACCCTAAACCCTAAATCACACCCCCGGGTTGGATGCCGCCTCGAGACGGCCCTATTTTCCCCGAGAGATGCCATTGGGGGAATGTTGGGGATCAAGCACCCTGCTCCTCCGGGCTTGCAGCCATCTCTATGGCTGTCTAGGGTTAAGGGTTTAGGGTTTAGGAGGCTTCAGAGTTTAGGGTTATTGGGTTATTCGGCTATTCTTCTATTTCTCATGACATCATGACATGATCGTGGTTCTTGTTCTAATGGTTCTGATGGTTGACATTTTGTGATGATGGGTGCCATTCTTTTGATAATGGTGATGGTGAGTATTTTGGTTTTTATTATCATTACTCTTCTTATTATTATGATGCTTATGCTTACTCTCCTAAGTCTGATTGTTGCACACCTGGGCGTAATCACCAGAGCCGCGGCGGTGAACAAAGGCGAGAGGGGAACAATAAGGCACTGAAGCAGGCGACATGCATTCTGAACCCTAGTTCTCGAAATGCCATACCGTACCATCCAATACTCCAGCCTTAGTTTAGTGGTCCAGGGTTTAGGGGTTTATCAAGGGCTTCCTAAACCCGACACCTTGGGATGTTCACCCCTATACTAACAGTCCCTAATAGGGATTATAGTAGGGGGTACTGAAATCCCTATCAAGGCCTGCTAGTACGAGGGGGAACAACCCAACCTAAACCCTAAACCCTAAGCCCTAAACCCTAAACCCTAAAACCTAAACCCTAAACCCTAAAACCTAAACCCTAAACCCTAAACCCTCAACCCTCAACCCTCAACCCTCAACCCTAAACCCTAAACCCTCAACCCTAAACCCTAAACCCCAAGTATAAGGGAACATCCCAACCTACACCCGAAGCCCAATCCGAAGTTGCAGCTCGCCAGGACGAGGGCGCATGCTCGGTGGCGAAGCCTCTGCGGAGGCTGCTTTCCGCCTCCAACTGCCAGGTGCACCTGCCTCTGCGAGATTCTCTCTGGAACGGTTTCAGGGTTTTAGGGTTTTAGGGTTTTAGGGTTTTAGGGTTTTAGGGTTTTAGGGTTTTAGGGTTTTAGGGTTTAGGGTTTGGGGGGTGTTTAGGGTTTTAGGGTTTGCAGTTTAAAGGTGTGGGTTCGGCTACTTCGATTCGAGTTCGGCTACCCTGGACCCTCGACTTTAGCCCTTCTCGAAACATGTGGTCAGTGACAATGTGGGATGCCTTCTTCCCCCACCTCTTACCCCTGCACCTTCGCCCCACTCGTCCCCTTCCACGACCCTGCCGTGTGAAGGCTTCGGCGAAGACCGCCTTGGCCTCGGCACCTTGGCAGAGAGAGCGAGAGAGAGAGAGAGAGAGAGAGGTGGTTTTCGAGCGGAATATACCCATGGGAAGCCCCAAAGAACGCCATACTTTAGTTTAGAACAACTCCCCGCATATAGTAGGGAGAAAGTCTAGGATTTCTTTATTTCAGCCATGTTCTCTAGATGTCCCTGAAAGATGGAATCCCGAACTTCGATCTCCCCCCAATCCCATGCCCTTGGGACCTCAACTAGGGACCAGCCAGCACTTTTTTTCACTAATCATCGCAGGATGAAAGAATACAAGAGATGTACATATATATATATATATATATATATATATATATATATATATATATGAGCCTGAGACCTTTCTGGTTCTTTTTGCTTAGTTTGTATATTTGTATTTAAAAAAATGATTATTTTTATATATAACATGTCCATGACCAAAACCAAAACCTGGACAGTCCCGCGCTCGGGGGCTTGAATGGATCCCTTCTTTACTATGCACATTGCAGGTCAAGGAGTAGAAGACGGTTTAGGGTTTAGGGTTTAGGGTTTAGGGTTTATGGTTTAGGGTTTAGGGTTTAGGGTTTAAGGTTTAGGGTTTAGGGTTTAGGGCTTAGGGCTTAGGGTTTAGGGTTTAGGCTCTGCCCTCAAGCTACCCTTCAGAACTTAGGGTTTTGGGCGGCTTAGGGCAACCCCGGCAGCTCTTGTTTTCAACAACATCAACGTTAATGCGACCAAGTCAGCACCCAAGTGCCGCTCGCGCGAACGACGTGGCTAGGTCTGGAGGGGCAGAAGCCGAAGACTAAAGCAAGACCTGTACGGCCACCTGCATTTCCAGAGTACTGAGCAGAGCCTGTAAGGTCGTACATTTGCGCAAGGAAAAGAGGCCTTACTGTTAACCTCCCCAAGCCCAGGAAATGATTTTCTAACGAGTCAGCTGTCCCCCCCGTAGCGGCCACGCAACTAGCAAAAAGGCTTACCTCGACCTCACTGCAGGCTCCTCCTCTTACAGTAGCCGCTAAAATACACATATACTACTTGACCTCTAGGCCTCACTGCAGGCTCCTCCTCTTACACTAGCCGCTAAAACACACACATGCTACTTTACCTATAGGGCCAACTCCGAACTCCACAGTCCGAGCAGAGCTTGCAAGGTCGTACATTTCTACACGGAAAAGGGGCCATACTGTCAACCTCCCCGGGCCCAGGAGAACGGCTTTCCGAAGAGTCAGCTCTCGCCTCCGAGGCAGCCACGCAACTGGCAGGAGAGCTTTCCTTGACATCACTGCAGGCTCCTCCTCTTACAGTAGCCGCTAAAACACACACATACTACTTGACATCTAGGGCTAACTCCGAACTTCAAAGTACTGAGCAGAGCTTGCAAGATCGTACATTTCCGTAAGGAAAATGGCCCTACTGTTAACCTCCCCGGGCCCAGCAAAAGGGTTTTTCCCTCCATCGCAGGCCTCACATGGAAACGTTTGCCAAGCTCAGGGACTGCAAATTGCCAGGCAAGGCCACATTCTCCAGGCTCTGGTTGTCTTACTTCTTTCTAAGACCTGGCGGCATTAGGGTTTACGATTTCATGTTTAAGGCTACAGGTTTAGGATTTAGGGTTTCTTCTGTTAGATCTGATCATTAAGGTTTAGGATCTAGGGTTTAACGTTGGGGCACAACCCTAAATCCGCAACCACCGCGTTCAACAACAAAGTAAAAAAATAATAAACTCCAACAGCTAGCCTCGCGTCAGTCGACAATAGGCGTAGATTTTCTTCAACTTCTTCTGCACCTGTCAAGGGCTTCTTTTATTTACACCTCTCTGTAAAAAAAAACACACTGCGACTGCGAAACGATCTTTAATCAGGCGACAAGAAACATGCCGTTAAACCCAAAAAACAGGGCCATATGAGTTTATACAGGCAGCCTAGGCCAAACAGTATTATGTATCAGACTGGAAATACTAAAACTATAAAACTTACCCAAGGTATCAGAAACGTCGCCTTCCAGCGCTTGTAGGCCACGATTCCGTCATATCCTCTGTGTCCTGTCCGGTTTCTAATAATGCTAAACCTTACACGCACACGCTACGCCCTAAACATTAAATCCTAAAGCTTAAAATGAGCAGGCCTTGAATATGCTTAACTAAAAGACAATTCTTTCTTTAAAGGTAGAAAGAGCTACATGTTAATCTTTAAAAGCTTGGGAATTCAAGCATCAGGCGCCTCCGGAGTCCCCTTGACGTAGGAGTCCCAGAGCCGATTCTTGACCTGTCCGATATCACTTTGCCGATGCCTTCTTCCAAAGTGCCCTTCCCCTAGACCCCAGACCCTAAAGCTTAGGTTTTAAACCCTAAATCTTAAACCTAGGCTCTAAACCCTAGGCCCTCAACCCCAGGCCCGAACCCTAAGCCTTAAACCCTAGACCCTAAACCCAAAGCCCTAGTTTAAGTTTTAGGGTTTAAGCTTTAGAGTTTAGGGTTTAAAGTTTAAGGCCGTCAGGCCTCCTGTCTCTTCATCTTCTTGAGCAGCTTCTTTGTTGTGATCGCCTGTCGAAGAATATGGAAACACGTCAACCCAAAACCTTAAACCCTAAACCCTAAACCCTAAAGTAGGGTTCAGGGTAGCGGAGCTTTGGGCTGAAAGATATCAGGTTCAATGTTTTAGGGGTAAAGTGTGAGGTGGTTGGGTCGCGGGTCTAGGGCTTAGGGTTTAGGGTTTCAGGGATGCGTAGAGTTTGGAGTTTATGGATTAGGGTTTAGGGTTTTGGGGCTTGGGCCTTTAGGGTTGGGGGCTCAGGGGTTTCATGGTTGAGGGCTCTGGGTTTACAGGGCTTTAGAGGTAAAACCTAAACCCTAAACCCTAAATCCCAGCCCTAAACCCTAAACCCTAAACCATAAAGCCTAAACCCTAAACCCTAGCCCTAAACCCTAAACCCTAAACCCTAAACCATAAAGCCTAAACCCTAAACCCTAAACCGGCTTAGGGTTTAGCCGGAGATGCTACGAGTCTGGACGATTCAAGCCGCAGGCCATCCACAAGTGCCGGTAGACGCCGGCTATCCGCGAGAAGGCTCGGGAGGTGGCTCTCGCCATGGAGAAGGAGACCGGCTTAGGGTTTAAGGTTTAAGGTTTAGGGTTTAGGGTTTTGGGTCTAGGGTTTAGGGTCTAGGGTTTGTGGTGAAGATGCTTTGGACCTACGAAGTGACTTTTGGATAGGCATAAGATTGAGGGTTAGGGTTTGGGGTTCATAGAGCTTAGGGTTACCCTAAGCCCCAAGCCCCAAACATTCAGATTAGGAGCTTCCTCTTGGGGCTGCGCCTTCTTCCACCCCAGCCCCCTCCTAACGACGAGAGGCTTTCGCAAAGGCGCAAACAAACGAGTGCGGAATGGTTGAGATTGTAAAGTCGGTTTAGGGTTGAGGGTTTAGGGTTTAGGGTAAAGTTCATGGTTTAGGGTATAGGGTAGCATCTCCAAGTCTCCGAGTATCTGCTGCTAGGCCTAGATGGGAACTAACTCTCTCTCTCTCTCTCTCTCTCTCTCTCTCTCTCTCTCTCTCTCTCTCTCTCTCTCTCTCTCTCTCTCTCTCTCTCTCTCTCTCTCTCGCTCCGTCTTGGAAGATCCAGCCGCTTCCATCATATCCTATAATTCAAACCTTCAATACCTTGTATTTGTCTGAGGCATCTTCACCTGACTTCGCCATCCAGGAAGACGAACGCCTTATGATCGAGATGCAGATACTTGTCTAAAAAAAATGACATACTTCCAGGTCACGTCGAGATGACTTCTTGATCGTCGCCGTCTTGTCGGCGTCGAACCTTATGGTCTATTATAAGAAAAGTATTATCTTAAGTAATAGTCTTTAGTACAAGCATATATTGCAGGCGCGGAGACTCCACGTCGTCATCAGCGAACCAATCACACTGCGAGAAGCGCACCATACAGAACCTTCACGTCGACGCTGTAAACAAAACTAATACGCAGGTTGCAAATCCAAGTCCAGCACGGTCTGCACAAGGCGGCTTCGCAAAAGTTTCCGGTAGGTTAAGCGCTCAAGCCGAAACTCACACATGTTAACATGAAAAAAAAGTCCTGCTTGAAATGTTCGAACTAGATTTCTAAGACAATTAAGGTAATCCACTTCCTTTAAATATCAGACAAAAAAATCGGAACACATTGTTAAACTGCACGTGCAAGCAAAAAAATAGAAAGTGACCCTGAAACGATAGAATCAATTAGAACCAGCGCACGAAACAAAGTATGTTCTCTCTTTATAAACAATAGAATAACGTGAATGGAAGCGCTCGACGAGACTGCTGAATTAAAGCGCAGGTCTTGCATTCGCAGCACTCAGGCAAGGTTTGCCTCTTTTTTAAGCGCGCCGCCTCACCTTGCTGCTCTGCGATCAGCGTCTCAGGTTACTCGACCTTAGATGCGTGATAAAAATCTTCGTATGACTAGGACAGCTGATTAGGATGCGCTGCGTCGAGTGAAGGTTCGACGCAGGCTGGAGAAGGCATTGTCCGCAGACGAACCTCATTGCGGGGGGGAAGTACTTAAAACATTAACAGATTAAAAAGAAATGAGCTGGCGACTTCCACTGGGCAAAATGGCACTTTCCCGGAGCTCCCTGATAGCAACATAATGTTTAAAACATCATTGTCAATACGGATGCGATTGTTCCACTGCCTCCATGCGGCCCTGCCAGAAATGCTGGCGAAGCCCGCAAGTATTGCACAAGACAAGCGGATTGCGCCAGTCGTTCTGGTGCCTCGTGAAAATTTAGATGAACATACCGATATTCCAATACGTCTAAACATGTCTAAACATTCAAAATAGTAAGCGAACAGCCATAGCTCTTTCTGGTGCTTGTAGGAGTCCACCACCATGACCTTAGAGAAACGTACACTACGAATAAGCATTTTAATCGCTCACGTCAGCCTTCAGCGTCTCCTTGAAATGGATCTTCTTCTTGGGCTCCGGGGCTTTCTTCATGATAGACTTCACCTTCAATGGAGCGCGCAAAACTTTATTTCCTTAGCATAGTAATATTGCTCTTTATGTAAATAAATTATTGCAGTTCGAGATAACCTGCTTCAGCTCTTAGAAACGTCTATAGTCACATGGCCTTGGTCTTGTTCTCTTTATCTTGCTTTTTTTGGCGGAAGGATTCCTTGTGATCCTTAGCAAACAGGATTTTAACATGCAGAGCTATAGTCGCGAAGAAATTTAACAAAAAAAACTAAGAGGAGAGCCATCGCTCGTTCGTTCTTCTTCCACGTTGTGTGTGGCGACTGGTGCTTCTTGCCCTTGCCCGACTTGCTCTTCTTGCTCCTCCCCATGAGGCCTGATTTTATTTAACGACAGAAATAAAGTCCTTAAAGGTGCTCAATCTTCAATCTGCAAAGGCTGGCCTGCGAGACACAATGCCAGAATGCCGAAGAAAAGACGTACAACTTGAGCAAAGGCTTGATGCGGTCAAAGCATGACGGAAAGTGAACTCGCTAACGCCAACGTCTGAACTCCAATATCCAAAGATTGCAATTGTCGAAGCCTTGTACGTCTAAAAACCGTACTCTCAAAGCTCAAACCTTCATTCCACTGTTCAATGAATGCTGCACTTGAAGTCACAAAAAGCAAGCATTGTCATCGTTAAGTCAAGAAAAGTTACAGCTGCAACCGCACCCTAAATATTTTCAGGGCTTCTGGTTCTTTACTCTTCGCCATCTAGCCTGAGGCTGAATAATGAAGAAACCAAAACATAATGGAACTAATAACCTTAAGGCCCACAAGAACTATGAAACCAGTCGTGTTCCCTCAAACCTCCCTGATAATTCTTGTCACAACGTTCTTTCAAGTGGACAACACCATAATAGCCGTAAAATTCTTTGCGTTAATCTTTTCGGAGTTCATTTGTCATGCGTCACCCTCTACTAGACAACAATGACATATTCAGGACCTGAGATGTGTCCTGTCATGCTTCGTCCTTCACGAAGGAACGCTGACGTAGTTCAAGGCCTGACATGCGTCATGCTTTGCTCTATAGACAAAAGGCACTTAACATTCCAAAGCATGGAATGCGTCATGTTGCGCACTCTTCTTGTTATTTGAGGCGGCGTCGATTGCGGCAAATTTTGCCCACAAAGGGTGTGGGCAAAATCTGCGGCTATCGACTCTTGGTGTTTTGCTCTGAAAACACGGCGGCGTAGATTGCAGCAAATTTTGCCACGAAAGGGTGCGGGCAAAATCTGCTGCTATGAACGCCTGGTGTTTTGCTTCTGAAAACACGGCGGCGTCGATTGCAGCAAATTTTGCCAAGAAAGGGTGTGGACAAAATCTGCTGCTATCGACGCCTGGTCTTTTGCTTATGATATGTTTCATGTTATTGTAGTAATTTAAGCGCAAACACGGTGGACCGATAACAGTACCACCATGTCTACTGTGCTGTTTAGTATGGAGTTGGCGAGATAACAATACACAAACAAGAGAGGGGGGAGACGGTGGACCGAAAACAGTACCACCGTGTTCAGGGACCGAATACAGTACCCCGCTTTCCCGGAGACCGAAAACAGTCCTCCGGGTTGAGTTAACGCTGCATTCACTGTAGGCTCCGCGCGTTCGATATTGAGAATCAAAAGAAACCATACCTGAGGCGAGACTTTATTTTATTTAAGGTATTTGTTTTCAAAATATGTAGAAATAAATGCAGTGACAGACTTGAAATAATAATTATTATCAGTATAATAATGACATTTTTCTTTTAGAATTGCTATATCGACTATTTTTCAAAATCATTTTAAAAACGATGTAAATAAAGTAAAATATAAATAATATAAATGGTCGATTTACATTATTTATATTGAAAACCGATATAAATATAATGTAAAAGAATGTAAATAATATAAGTAGCTCATTTACAATATTTAGATTGGTTTTTATGTTTTTTTTATGTAAATAATGTTAACGGGTAGGGGTCCCAGACCCGAACCTAAATAATGTAAATGACCCATTTACATTATTTATATCGGTTTCTGATATATTTCCGATGTGTTTCATGTAAATGGCCCATTTACATTATTTGCATCGGTTCCAATGTATTTCCGATGTAAATAATCTAAATGGGCACGGGTCCCAGACCCGGACCCTCACAAAAACCAATAAAAATTATATATAATGTAAATAATGTAAATAATGTAAATGGCCCATTTACATTATTTACATCGGAAATATGTATTTCCGATGTAAATAATGTAAATGGGCACGGGTCCCAGACCCGGACCCTCACAAAAACCAATATAAATAATATAAATAATGTAAATAATGTAAATGGCCCATTTACATTATTTACATCGGAAATATGTATTTCCGATGTAAATAATGTAAATGGGCACGGGTCCCAGACCCGGTCCCTCACAAAAACCAATATAAATAATATAAATAATGTAAATAATGTAAATGGCCCATTTACATTATTTACATCGGAAATATGTATTTCCGATGTAAATAATGTAAATGGGCACGGGTCCCAGACCCGGACCCTCACAAAAACCAATATATATAATATAAACAATGTAAATAATGTAATTGGCCCATTTACATTATTTACATCGGAAATATGTGTTTCCGATGTAAATAATGTAAATGGGCCATTTACATTATTTACATTATTTATATTATTTATATCGGCTTTTGGGAGGGTCTGGGTCTGGGACCCGTGTCCATTTACATTATTTATATCGGTTCCGATGTATTTCCGATGTAAATAATGTAAATGGACACGGGTCCCAGACCCGGACCCTCCCAAAAGCCGATATAAATAATATAAATAACTTAAATAATGTAAATGGCCTATTTACATTATTTACATCGGAAATATGTATTTCCGACGTAAATAATGTAAATCGCCCATTTACATTATTTACATTATTTATATTAATTTTATCAGTTTTAGAGGAGAGATCCGGGTCTGGGACCCCCCCATTTACATGATTTATATCGGTTCTGATGTATTTCCGATGTAAATAATGTAAATGGGCGCGGGTCCCAGACCCGGACCCTCCCAAAAGCCGATATAAATAATATAAATAACTTAAATAATGTAAATGGCCTATTTACATTATTTACATCGGAAATATGTATTTCCGACGTAAATAATGTAAATCGCCCATTTACATTATTTACATTATTTATATTATTTTTATCAGTTTTAGAGGAGAGATCCGGGTCTGGGACCCCCCCATTTACATGATTTATATCGGTTCTGATGTATTTCCGATGTAAATAATGTAAATGGGCGCGGGTCCCAGACCCGGACCCTCCCGAAAACCGATATAAATAATATACATAATCTAAATAATGTAAATGGCTCATTTACATTATTACATCGGTTCCGATGTATTTCCGATATAAATAATGTAAATAGCACATTTACATTATTTACATCGGTTCCGATGTATTTCCGATGTAAATAATATAAATAATAAAAATTAATTAAAAAAATGTATATAGAAAAAACAACAAGGCAACATAGTGCATAAAGGTCCCTCTCTCATATATATATATATATATATATATATGTGAGTTTATATATATATATATATATACACATATAGTATGTATATATGTATATACATTATTTGTAGGCATATAGGTCTAGGACAGCTTATCCCTAGACCCTAAGCCCAGGCACCCATTGCATGCCTCCATACCCTGCGCCCGCTCTGGGAGCTCAGCGCCGCGCGGCCTGTACTTGGAGGTTCTTAGGGTTTAGGGTTTAGGGTGTGGGGTTTAGGGTTTAGGGTTTCTTTCGCGCGCGCGCGCGGGGATATGCACTTTTAGGTTTTAGGGATGATAGGGTGTAGGTATTTGGGGCTATATGTTTCCCCCATTGTTCGTAGTCGGGGACCGGTTTCCCCTTAGACTACCGGTCCTGCCAGGACTGTTTGTAGCTGGCGGAACATCCCCAAGGGAGGTCTGTTAGGTTTTTGCTGGGCTTTTGTGCTCCTCATTTCTCCGGTGAATAACCCAGACCTGGCCTGGAATCCCGACGCCCCAAACCCTACAAATTCTGTAAGCTCTGTAAGCCCTGTAAGCCCTGTAAGCCCTGTAAGCCCAACCCTGTAAGCCTTGTAATCCCTAAACCAGCCAAAAAGAAGGACTTAGCCCGGAACAAACCTCCCCAAAACAACCCTGAACCCTAAACCCTAGACCCTAAGAAACAACGAAGCCCTAACGGGGGCCCTTGGCCCCACCCCCGGAATACTCCCTCCAGCTCCCTTAGCAACTCTTTTCTCTTTTTACTTAGAAAAACCCGACACCCGAAACCCTAAACCCTATAAAGTACTGCATATTTCCTTAAGGTTCTAAGGGGAGTATGGCTCCAGCTCCCCTTGTCAAGGCGAGCTGCCTCGAAGGCTACCAGCGCCTCGACTCTCCGACTGGGGTGTGGGAGTTGGGGGGGCTTGGGGAAGTCTATGCTTCCGCATGGATTGCCGTCAAGCAAAACGCACGATTTCTAGCTGCGTGATGAAGGTCAGTTTTTTTTTTTTTTTTTTTTGGGGGGGGGGGGCGTTTATCCGTTCCTGCCAATGTTTCACCATGCTGGAAATGCGGGTTTAGGACTTTAGCTTTCGGCTTCAGGCTTTGCAGTTACAGTTTAGTGCTTTAGCTTTGGAGTTTATGCTTTAAGATTTTGGGGTTTAGGGGTTTAAGACTTTAGGGTTTACGGCTTTCGCTTTGGGATTTAGGCTTTAAGACTTTAGGGTTTAGGGCTTTAACACTTTCGGGTTTGGAGCTTTCGCTTTGGGGTTTCGGCTTTACGACTTTAGGGTTTAGGGCTGTCGACTTGGGGTTTAGCCGCATAAGACAATGGTTTCACGCTTTACCCTTAAAGACTTTACCTTTGGGGTTTAGCCTTGAAAACTTTAGCTTTGGGCTCATAGGCTCTTGGACTTTAGCTTCGGATACAAGTATTACCAAACTTCCCACCCAAACATCCAACAATCCTGCACATGCCAAAAACTCATAAAAATCCGCGCTTTTTTGTTCACGCCTACTTTTCGCCCCGAAAACACGGAAACACTGCAAATACCGGCGTTTTCGCTGCTCGCGACTTTTGCCCAACGCGTAATGTGACGCCCGTGAATGTACAAAAGCCCAAGGATTTAGCAATTCCATAAAATCGGAGCATGTTTTCCGGAGGCTCGGAGGCCATGTAAAATATGCAAAAAAGCATGGGTGTAAAACGCACGACTGAAAACCATGCGGCGGGAAGTCTATGTAGGTTTAGGGCCTAGTTCAGGGTTCAGGGTTGTTCTGAAACATGGGGCACTTTTTTGGATGCAGGCTGACGGCGTAAGAAGTCCACCCCTAAAGAAGCAGGAGGGTCCATGCTTCAGGGTCTCAAAGGGGCTCTTGCAGGTCGGATGCTTTCGGGGGCTGAGGTTGGGTTTACTTGGAGGCTCATAGGGTTACAGTTGGCATGATCCGCCTTATAATTAACAGTGGTCAATAGGGATTAGAATAGGGGGGGGGGGGGGGGTACTGTAATCCCTATTAAGGACTTTGAGTTTAGGGGGGGAACATCACAAGTTACAGGGTTATGCCTCCTGGCGGTGTGTTTTTTGGGTCTTGGGTGCCGGGCATAGGGTTTAGGACTGAGTGAGGGTTTACGGGGTATAGATGAGTAGGCTCATAAGTAGGGTAACTATGGTTATAACCTTACAGTGCTTATAACTACTTGTAAGTACCCATGAGCCTCCAAGTAGGGTTGGGGAGGTTGGGGCACGAAAGCCCTGCTTCTCTTCGGCTTCGGTTACCCCAAACCCTAAACCCTAAATCGTAAACCCTAAAGCCTAAACCCTAAACCCAAAACCCAAAACCCAAAAACCCTAAACCCTAAACCCTAAACCCTAAACCCTAGACCTAAACCCTAAACCCTACCCTACTCCGCTTTCCCGCCCGCAGCCTTGAGCCCTAATGTGCACTTGCTGCGCCGCACAGACCGAGAAAGCCCGTCAAGCTTAGGGTTTAGGGGATTAGGGTTTAGGGTTTGGGGTTTAGGGTTTAGGGTTCAGGGTTTAGTGTTTAGAGCCTCAAAGCCCCCAGAACCCTAAAGCTGACAAGGAAATCCGGAACCCTTCCACCAACCAAAGCCCAAAACACCCTGTGAGCACCAGGCCCCTGTTCTTGGGCCAGCGGCGCGCCTTTGGCCGCAGCGGCAGATGAGGGTGGTTCCCCTGTTTTTGCTTGCGGTGTTTTTTGGTGTTCTTCTTGTTATTCGTTTCTGTCTGGTATAGTTCTAGATGGGGCTATAGTTCCAGTTCTAGTTGTAGTTGTCATTATAGTCCTAGTTATAGCTGCTGTTAGAGTTGTAGTGTTAGCTGCAGTTACAGTACTTGCCAGTACTGCCTTAGTTTATTGCTTCCTTATAGCCCCAATCATGAGTCTACTTATAACCTACTTGGGGGACTTAGCGGACTCAGGGGACTCAGAGGGCGTAGAAGTGCAGCTCCCATTCGGGTTATCAGTACCCTGAACCTCCAAACCCTGAACCCAAAACCCCTAAACCCTAAACCCTAAACCCCTAAACCCCTAAACCCCTAAACCCCTAAACCCTAAACCCTAAACCCTAAACCCTAAACCCCTTACATGTTCAGGACTCTCGCACGTCCTCTGCGACGCGGAGGTGCTCTCCGTGCCGCTGCTCGACTCCCAGGCGCGGTGTTGGGGAGGATGTTTTGTTGTTCTTTTTGGGCCGGGGGAGGGGGGGATGGTTTAGGGTTCAGGGTTTAGGGTTTAGGGTTTAGGGTTTAGGGTTTAGGGTAGTTGTTTGGGGTTTGGGTTGACGGAACGTTTTGACCGAAACGTTTTGACCGAAACGTTTTGGCCGAAACGTTTTGTTTTTTGGAGCTATGCTTTTCATTTTTTTTGGGTGGGAGGGGGGGAGGGGGGGGGGGGGGGGGGTGAGGGCGGGGGGGATGGGGCGCAGACTTAAACTCGGCTTGTCAGCTGTTTAGACAAATAACTGGGAAACTCAGAGAATTCCGAATGATACCACACGCAATTTCTATTTATTTTGTCTTGAGGGGTTAGGGTTTAGGGTTTAGGGTTTAGGGTTTAGGGTTTAGGGTTTAGGGTTTAGGGTTTAGGGTTTAGGGTTTAGGGTTTTTCAGGAAGGTTGGGAGTTTTTAGGGGCTCAGGAGTCCTGTAGGAGTTTGATAGAGCTACGGACGTGCTTGCCATGACTTCTTGCCGGCCCTGTGGGAACTTAGGGTTTAGGGTTTAGGGTTTAGGGTTTAGGGTTCAGGGTTTAAGGTCCTGAGAGGCATCAAGCTGGCTCGAAAAGGGCCTTCCCAAACACGCCCAGCGGAATCTACCGCAAATACGGGGGTGCTTGGAGGTTCATGGTACTTGGTAATTAAGTATAACTGTACTTATAACAGTACTTCAGGGCCTTATAAGTGGGTATTTGTACAGTTATTCTTTGCTTCTAAGTCCCATAAACCTCCAAGTATATGTTGAGCCAGGTAGAGCCCTTGGACATTCCATATGTTCACCCTTATTTGGGCTCAAGAGGATCATGCTCAGGAATATTTTTCGGAGAGTTTTACGGGGCCATCCTAGCGAACAACATCGAGGTTCCCTGGTGTGGCAGCATGGTTGAAGATCCTTAACACACTCTGAGCCTGCAGCCTTCAACCCGAGCCCCCCAAGACCGCGTGGCTACTTGTGTTCTAAATTCTTCTTGGCTTTCTTTTGGCTGGCTCTGAGGACTTTAACCTTCTGGGTTTTTGGTAGAACCCCACAAGATGGAGCCTAACAGTTAAACTTGTCGGAGGGTTCAGAAATCAGCCAGGTCTTACCAGCCTAAGTTCCCAAATCCTTCTACCTAAACCCTAAACCCTAAACCCTAAACCCTAAACCCTAAACCCTAAACCCTAAACCCTTGAGAAGTCGCGCCCTTCCGGAAGGTGATGATGCACATCCACGGCGCCGCTGGCTTCCTCCAGGCCAGCGCTTTTGCTGCGTTTTCTTGGGGCGGTTTTGGAGGTAGATCCTAAAACCCTCAGGGTTTAGGGTTTAGGGTTTAGGGTGGGTTCAGGCTTGTTTCGGGGTTAGGGTTTGTTCAGGGTTTCCGGTTTATATATTCGGGGTTTAGGGTGTTTGGGCCTTTAGGTTTTAGGGCCACCTGTACCTCCGAAGCCCTAAACCCCCGAACCCCTAAACCCGAACCTCGAGAGCCCCAAATGGGCCGAGGCTCTAAAATCTTAACGGTTGTAAGACCTTAAACCTTAAACCCCCGTAACTCCACATCACACGTCTCTCAGAAAATGCGAATCTTCGGGTGTAGGGTGGATGATCGTTAGGGCTTAAGGTTTGGAGTTTAGGGACTAGAACCCCCTTCCTCCCCACAGCCTTCAAAGCCTGAGTAAAACCCCAAAACCTGAGTCCGCGCGGGTCGACAAACTCAAGTCCAAGGAGGGGACTTGCCAATCCTTAGGCTTCAGGCTGATGATTAGATCCTCCCCGCTTTGTGGCAAAGGGGGTTTAGGGTTTAGGGTATAGGGTTTAGGGTTTAGGGTTTAGGGTTTAGGGTTCAGGCAGGACGCGGAGACCCATCAGGCCACAGGATGGCGACGTCGTGCCAGTCATGAGGAGGTCAAGCACGCCGGGGGTGCAGAAGACAAGCAAGGCCGAGATGAGAGCCCTAAACCCTAAACCCTAAACCCTAAACCCTAAACCCCAAACCCTCAACCCCAAACGGCGTGAGAGAGCTCGCAGCGCCAGCCGTGGATGTGCGGAGCTCCCTAGGATGGTCAGTCGATGAAGCTGGTACCGTAGCGGCCCTTTACCTTCTTTGTGGTACTTTACTGTAACTTTAGATCCTTACCTTTTTTGGGTTTATTGGGTTTCTTATGAAGGCAGCCAAAAGTTTAATTTATAGCTACCCTCCTGAGTGCAGCCAAGCCTTTCTTCTCCAATAGCCAAGGGGAAAAGAAGGTTAAAACTGTATTCTTCCTACTAAGGAAACCCAAAAAGTTCAAAGTTAAAAAGGTTAAGCTGTGTTCTTCCTACTAAGTAAGGAAACCCAAAAAGTTTAAAGTTCAACTATTGGCAAAGTAAGTTACTGTTCGCAAGCAATAGAGCTCTACTGAGCCAAGGCTTCTCTGATGGTGTTTGACATATTACCACGGCTTGACTTCACCTTGCAAGCAGAAGAAGAATCCCCAACACATACGTGCAGAGTTCGTTTTTGGGAATACGTAAGTTGACTACTCTGAGCTGGAACCAACCCTAACCCTAAACCCTAGACCCTAAACCCTAAACCTTCAACCCTGAGCCCTAAGCCCTAAACCCTAAACCCTAAACCCTAAAACCTAAACTAGAAGCTGATTGAGCCGTGAAAGCAGGCCGATGCGTCGGGACAGACCTGGCTGCGGCTCGAGGCGCGCGGGGTGTTGGGGTTTTGGGGTTTAGGGTTTAGGGTTTAGGGTTTAGGTTTAGGGGGTTTAGGGGGGTTTAGGGGGGGTTTAGGGGGGTTTAGGAGGGGTTTACGGGGGGGTTTGGGGGGGTTTAGGGGGTTTAGGGGGTTTAGGGTTTAGGGTTTCAGGGTTTAGGGCTCAGAGCCTCCAGGTTTAGGATTAGGATATAGGGAAAGCCTCCGCTCCCAAGAGGAAGTACTCGGAGTCCCCCCTCTCGCCTCACACTCCCCAGCCCCCACAAGTTAGGCGGTAGCGAAGCAGACAGACTCAAGGGGGTGTGGGGGGGGGGTGGGGGGCGGCGGCGGCTTAAAACCCAAAACCCAAACACTTTAAATCCTAAATCCTTATTGCAAATCTTTAGGGGATCCCATGCAATCTTCTGAGGTCCTCCACTTCGTGTCCAGCCTCGCGACCTGCCGAATGAGGAAACGAGCTTGGCTATTGGAAAGCGGATCAG